GGCTGTCCAGCTCCAGTACCTCCAGTAGTGGTAGCTCTAGCACCTCCAGCACCAGAAGCACCTCAAGTACCTCCAGCTCCAGTACCTCCAGCACCAGCAGCAGCTCCAGTACCTCCAGCACCAGCAACACCTCCAGCACCTCCAGCACCAGTAGCACCTCCAGGACCTCCAGGCCTAGCAGCTCCAGTACCTCCAGCACCAGTAGCACCTCTAGTACCTACAGCAGTACCTCCAGGCCTAGCAGCTCCAGTATCTCCAGCTCCAGGTCCTCCAACAGGGTCACCCACAACTCCACTGCCACTAGGACTCGCAGCACCCCCAGAGTCAGCACCCCCAGTCGCAGCACCCCCAGAACCAGCACCCCCAGTCGCAGCACCCCCAGAACCAGCACCCCCAGGCACAGCACCTCCAGAGCCCTCACCCCCTGGCTCAGCACCCCCAGTCTCAGCACCTGTAGTCTCAGCTCCAGTCTCCACAGCAGCAGGCTGCGGAGGCGGCGAAGACTGTCGAGGCGGAAAACCCGGGGGGGTCTCCAAGCGTGGAGAGCGGCGAGTGGCCGCCGTGTCGTCCGCAACTGGGTCACCCCCCTCAGCTGGGCCAGAGGAGTCTGAAGAGATCTCCACTAGCTCATCCAAGGGGGTTGGGTCGACCTGAGACACACCTGAGGGAGCAGGACCCTGTGGGGGGGGGGGGTCTACTGGGGGGGGGGGACTGGTACCAGGAAGAGGGGTGCAAGGGGAACCGGGTGGGACGCGTGCGGGTGTAACTGGTAGTAACAGACAGACTCGTCAAAGGTGACGTCATGGGAGGAGAAGACTCGACGCGAGCGCGGGTGGTAGAACTGCCACGGCGGGGTGTCTGTGGGGAAGCCAAGGAACACGCAGCGGAGAGTGCGAGAGGAGAGCTTGCTCGCTTTGGAATCGCGAACAAAGGAGAGCGCGCCACAGACCCAAAACACTGACGCATCACCAGGCTTCCCCGTCCACCGGAGGGTGGGCGAGGTCTTTGGCACAGAGACATGGGGCCAGAGGTTGAGCTGATGCGCAACGTATCGGACCGCAAACGGCCACAGAAAATGGGGAGCAGCCGCATGGATCATGGAGGTGCGAGCAACCTCCATGATCAAGCCAGTGCGACGCTCAGCAATCCCATTCTGCTGAGGAGAGGCCGGAAGCGTGAACGTCTGGCGGATGCCCTCGTCTCGGCAGAACCCCGCAAGGAGGTCAGAGGAGAACTCACCGCCCCTGTCAGAGTGCAGACGCAGGACTGGGAAGTCCTGCTCAAACTGCTCGTGCAGCTGGAGACGAGTAGCACGGATCCAGGAGATCAGGACACTGCTGACGTCCGCCTTGCGCCGCAAGGGGAAGACAGAGGTGTAGCGTGTGTAGTCGTCAACAACCAGCAGGAAGTAGTGCTCGCGGTCCGTTCCACCGATGGGGGCCGGGCCCCACACATCCATGTGGAGAGTCTGCAGAGGAGCAGTGGTCGGAGGAAACTTGGAGGAGTGAGGAGCGGCGCGCTGCCGCCCCTCGACGCAAGGAAGGCACGGCGGGGCAAGCGAGCGCGGCAGGGGGGGCAGGGTCCTGGGGAGGCCAGAGACAAGGAGACGGGAGTGCATGCTGCGTAGACGCGGCAGGGAGGGGTGACCAAGACGGTGGTGCCAGCGCTGAGTCTCGTGCGTGAGTACTCTGCACGAGCAAGACGCAGCTAACTGTCCCGACGCAGACGCCCGACTCGACACAGCCACCTGACCTGACTCAGCCACCTGTGCAGACGCAGTAATCAGTGTGTACAGACTAGACCCATGCTGTCAAGTGAACGTATCCAGGTGACGGCCAGTCCGGGAGCACGTACAGATCGCCACACGCTGCCCTCCAGGAATAAAGGTATCAACCCAGACATCCTGAATGGCAGCGTTGCTCACCAAGTTCGTCGAGAACGTGGGGAGGTGGAGACCTGACAGAGAACCGGAGGGGACTGCTGGACAAGGGAGGACAGTGGAGGCTTGCGCAACTACTGGGCCCCCAGAGGGGTCAGCCAGTGAGACTGGGACAGGTGCTGCGAGTGGTGTGACTATTGTGCAATCACGAAAGAAGCAACGTGACGCACCTGAGTCGAGCGTGAAAGTGTGCAAGACCTCAGCTGAGGCAGGACCTGTGGCAGTAGACGCACTAGCACCTAGAGCGTCGGCAGACACACGGGCACCTAAAGCTGCAGCAGACTCACCAGCACCTGGAGCAGCAGCAGACTCACTAGAACCGAGAGTAGTAACCTCTACACAGCCAGGGACGCATCGCTGAGAAGCACAGTCGCGAGGCCGCTTAGGCCACGTATAACCAAAACCTCCACCACCAGGACTACCTCGCTGAACAACCCACTCACGAAGCTGCTGAGGGGTGGGGTCGTCCGGGAGAGGCAGTGCTCGCTGCTGTCCACCCCTGGCCGCAGCAACTGCCGCGAGAGTGGCCATGACAGACAGTGACGGTCAGGAGGAGGTCCAGCACCTCCGGCTCCTCCAGCACCAGCAGCACCTCCAGCACTCCCAGTAGCACCTCCACCAGCAGCAGCAGTAGCACGAGTAGCAGCAGCAAGGCAGCTCGGTGGGGCTGGGCGGCCGCACCTCCAGCACTCCTAGCAGCACCTCCACCAGCAGCAGCAGTAGCACGAGTAGCAGCAGCAGCAATAGTAGTAGCAGTAGGGCGGCTCGGTGGGGCTGGGCGGCCGCACCTCCAGGACTCCCAGCAGCAGCTCCACCAGCAGCAGCAGTAGAACGAGCAGTAGGGCGGCTCGGGTTGGGGCGGCGCGGCTCGGACTGGGCGGCGCGGCTCGGCAGGGCAGCGCGCGTGCTGCAGGGGCGGCGCGCGGCTCGGCAGGGCGGCGCGCGGGCTGCAGGGGCAGCGCGCGGCTCGGCAGGGCGGCGCGCGGGCTGCTGGGGCAGCGCGCTCGGGCTGCAGGGGCAAGGCGCGGCTCGGCAGGGCGGCGCGCGGGCTGCTGGGGCAGCGCGCTCGGGCTGCAGGGGCGAGGCGCGGCTCGGCAGGGCGGCGCGCGGGCTGCAGGGGCGACGAGCGGCTCGGCAGGGCGGCGCGCGGGCTGCAGGGGCGACGCTCGGCTCGGCAGGGCGGCGCGCGGGCTGCAGGGGCAGCGCTCACAGGCTGCAGGAGCGACGCGCGGCTCGGCAGGGCGGCGAGCGGGCTGCAGGGGCGATGCGCGGCTCTGAAGGGCGGCGAGCGCGGGCTGCAGGGGCGGCGCGCGGCTCGGCAGGGCGGCGCGCGGGCTGCAGGGGCAGCGCGCGGGCTGCAGGACCGACGCACGGGCTGCAGGGGCAGCGCGCGGGCCACAGGGGCAGGCACGGCTGCAGGGGCAGCACGGTCGCAGGGGCGAGTACGGCTGCAGAGGCAGCGCGGTCGCAGGGGCGAGCACGGCTGCAGGGGCAGCGCGGTCGCAGGGGCAGTGCGCGGGCTGCAAGGGCAGCGCGGCTGCAGGGGCAGCGTAGGATGAAAATTTTACGGGTAGGGCCGGGCGGAACGTTCGGTGGGCCCTAGGAACGATTCTGCTCTAATACCATGTTAGAATAAGCAGGCAGGAAAGGGTGGACTAGGTAGCATGCATGAATACAAGTACCTAACCCTAAAGTGTTGTACCCCTTGTAGGCTAACCCACTATAGCCTAGAGAGAACACGAACACATAGTTTGACACCTTGGTCACCTTGTTCGCTGACAAGAAGGCCATGATCCTCTTGGGTCAAGAGCCTCGACTGGAGGGCAAAGTGAAACACATCGACGTGAGGTACTTTCTACTGCGAGAGTTGCAGCGACGCGGCCAGGCACGCTTGGCGTTGGTGGCCTCAGCGGCCAACACTGCAGACATCTTCACCAAGGCCCTTCCGCCTAGTGACCACCACAGATTCTGTGTGCAAGGCCTTGTTGAGGGATGCCATCGGTTACTGTAGATTTGTCTCTTGTTTCTTGCTCTGCATGTCTTGCTGTTTATATATCTGTGTGAACTCTTGAACTGGCCTTGTGGCGTCTTGCTTGTGCTCAGACTGCATGGTGACTTGGCACTAGAGACTCTAGACCAATACCGGTAGAGCTCTAGCCAAGGTGAGTTGGCACGATACCAGTAATCGAATCACAAGCTCCCAACACCTTCTTTTTCCACCTCACTCTGGCTGAAACCATACACGACGCACGTGATCATATTTAAAGCCCGCGACCCAAGTTGCTCATGTTTTAAAAGGTTGACCAGAAACTCCCCTGAGTTCGGTTGCACTTTAGTGAGTTGCAAGCTGCTCACTGCTGAGCCATCCTGATCTCCTCATAACCTGTCCTGCTCATTGCGAATTCATGACCAGTGTATTCCATCCTGTGGACTCCGTGAACGTATATTCCTACAGAGACACACATAGCGCCACGAACCTTGCTAAGGTCATGCGCATAATTTGGTTTCTACAGCTTTTGAAACCTGGGTCAGAAGACCACAAGTGCTCCCCCCTACCCACTGACATACCACTGACAGCTTAAAAGGTCAACCCACCAACCATGCCACTACTACAGCTTCACAATTGTCCAATCTACATTCTAGCTCCACACCGATCCACTGCAAGATTCTCATTCATCTTGCTGCCTCCCTCCATTCCATGCCTTCCTTCCCACTCTCAATCATCCCCCTCACAACCTCTCCCCTTTGCAGCCCCGCACTTCAGCACCTCATTAGCGCCCACTTGGTCCCAGAAGGCTCTAACTCGCTCCAGCAAACGCTAAGGCGACTCAGCAGACCCTAACTCGTCCCAGCAGCCTCCACCATCGCTCCAGGCTCGCTTGCTTTTTGCTGCTCCACTGATTGAACAAGCCCACGCTGGTCCACCAGATTGCTGTGAGACGTCTTAATAATCTTGACATGTAAAAAGCCGACCACCCCTTGCTAGTTCGTTGCATGAACAAACCCAACCTGGTCCGCCAAATGGCTCAAGCCTTGAGACGTATCAGAATTTTGAAATGTCTCAAAACCTTGCCCCCCCTTGCCACTGCACTGCCCGAACAAGCCCAACCTCGTCGATCAGATTGCCGAGTCCCAACGGGTGCAAGATCTCCTCTGTCGCACCATTGGCCTTCACCCCTGCATCATTCATTTCTTCCAACACCCCCCGCACCTCACTCGCAAACTCCCCGTCTCCCACATCCTCTCCTACTCCCCTCCTCCTCCAGTCATTCACGATAGCCGTGATAATCGAATTGAAGAGATTCGCATCGGTACGGTACATGGTCCGGGCAAGCCCCACCAACTCCCGCACCTTCCCCACCTCCCCCGCCTCCACAAACCCCCCCAGCACCTCCGCGAACGCGTGGAACGGCAGCTTCATGCGCGCCCTATGCGCGCCGGCCGCCACCGCGTCGTGTAACGTGGTAACCGCATCGTCGATCTGGTTCGCGGAGAGGTAGCCGCGGAGGAGGTGCAGGAAGGTGATGCCGTCGGGGCGCATGCCGGCTGCATCCATCTGGAGAATTGTTTCCTTGGCTTTGGGGAAGAGGCGGTTGTGTGCGTATGCGAATACGAGCGAGTTGAACGTCTCGGTTACTGGCGCCTGCTGCACCCTCAGCTCTTGAAATGCCTGCAGGGGAGGGTGGGGAGCGGGACGGGAGAGGGTGGGGATGGGAGCGTCGTTCGAGTCAAGGTTGAAGGGCAAGGGAGGGGAAGGCCTCTCTCGGGTCCTGGGGCTGGCCCGGTGACCAAAACGTTGAGCTCCTGTGCCTCACAGGCCGGCCTGCTACTGAGGGCTGCTGCACTCTCGCGTCCTGCAAGGCCGGCCGAGGTTGAGAGCAGGGATGGAGAAGGGAGAAGCGAGTTTAGGTATCCTTTGAGCTGGCTTGGAAGGCAGCAACATTGACAGTCGAGGTCACCGGCGGATGCTCCTCGTTTTCTGCAGCTGTTTTCTCCAAGAGTTCTCAAAAAGCACCCGAGCATCACATTGGTGTTATGACTGTACGAGGCAGCGAAACAGTGTTTGAAGGGTGATCATTCAGGGTGCAAGCGCGCACACCGTACCATTCCCCTCCCTCTCCTCACCTTCCGCACACACACCGTTACCCCCTGCTCCACCTCACCTGCCGCACACAAAGAGGCAGACACAAACCCTCCCCCCCTGTCCACCCTCTCCCCATCACATTCTCCAGCCCATAACCCTCTATGACAATATGTGACATGTGCACACACACCCTCAGTAAACCCCCAGAGATGCACGCACCCACTCCCTTTTCCCCTCTCCGTCCTCTTTCCCCCCGCTCTCCCTCTGACCTTCCCCCCTCCCCCACTTTCCGCCTTCCCACCCTTCCCCCTCCTCTCGCCCCCCTCACCTGCTCCGCCTTGCCCACATCACCCGCCAGCCCATAGCCCCCCATGACTACATGCACAGACAGAGCCTCAATGATATACAGAGATGCACGCACACAGACCGCACTTCCCCCCTACCTCCCCCTCACCTGCTCCGCCTTGCCCACATCACCCGCCAGCCCATAGCCCTCTATGCGCGCCTTGTGCAGCATCCTGCAGGGCAGGGCATGGGTGAGAGCAGCAGACGGGAGACGGGAGAATGGGTTGATGGAAGCCCACAGACCTCATGACTGATTTCACCCATGCTTCTTTCCACCCGTTATTACTCATTACCTACCATCGCACCCACACCTCGTTACTATCACACACACAGCCCATCGCCTTCACATCACAACCATACCTTGCCACGACCACACCCCTACAGCATCACCATCACCATCACACGCATACCTTGTCATTGGCACGTTTGACGCAAGCAGCTCACTCCACGTCGACTCCAGCTTATCAACCTGCCCGCTCTGCCCATACGCCTTCAGCATGGCAGCATACGTGCCTCTATCTGGCCCCGCTCCCGACGTCTTTAATCGCCTCTCCCACTCCAGTGCCTTCTCCGGCTCCCCGTGGCTGACATAGGCTGAGATCAGCGCGTTCATTGTCGCCAGATCCGGGGTCAGGTTGTACATTTCCATCTGAGCGAGGTAGAACTCCATTTCTTTGAGCTGCCCGGCCCTGCCGAGTCCGGCCAGGATGATGTTGAATGTGATTGTAATGGGGGTGAAGCCCTGCAGGCAGATGGGGAAGAGAATCAGCAGAGTAAGAGCGGAAGAGAGCAACAGATTAAGAGGGAGCGAAAAGAGATGCAAAAGAGGTATGCACGGTGCGTGCACGGCGTGGTGGCGTTAATTACATTCCCAACCCCCTCCTCCTCCCCCCCCCTCTCCTCCCAACCTTGCTCCTCATCTCATCCATCACCACCCCGATGCCAGCCACACCACTCTCAACCACCTCCTACTCCTTGCCCTACCTTGCTCCTCATTTCATCCATGATCACTGCGATGCCCGCCACCACGGCCGCCCGCTGCCTGCCTGCCCCTCTGCCCCAACATTCTCTCCCCCCCTCCCCCTCCTCCCCACCCCTCCCATTCCTTGCCATACCATTCTCCAACTTACTTCCCTCCCTCCCGCTGCCCCACCTTGCTCCTCATTTCATCCATAATCGCCCCAATGCCCGCCACCATGCCCGCCCGCCTCCTTCTTGCCACTCCACTCTCAAGCACCTCTTTTCACTTGCCTTACGTTTCTCCTACGTACTCTCCACCCCTCTCCCCTACTCCCCCTACCCCACCTTGCCCACCTGCCCCACCTTGCCCCACCCTGCCCCCTCTGCCCCACCCTGCCCACCCTGCCCCACCCTGCCCCCCCTGCCCCCCCCTTTCCCCCCTGCCCCACCTTTCTCCGCATTTCATCCATGATCGCCCCAATGCCCGCCACCATGCCTGAGCGCCGCCTGCCAGCCAGCAGAGCCTGCAGGCGCGCGTTGAACGAGGGGATGCCCTCCTGCACGCCCTGCTGCCTCAGCCAGTCCACCTGGGAGCAGGGGAGAGACGGGGAGGAGGGAGGAGAAATGTAGAGCAGAGACGTCATTTGATGTTGGAAAGAGGAGCGGGCCTTTGAGACATCTCAGTATGCAGCCGCGCGTTGAACGAGGGGATGCCCTCAAGCCCTCCCTGCTGCTGCAGCCAGAATGGGTGAAGGGGACAATAGTAACTCGCGCGTTGAACGACGGGATGTCCTCTGCCACGCCCTGCTGCCGCGGCCAGTCCACCTGCGGGGGCAGGAGAGAAGGAGCGACGGGAAGAAGGCGAACATAGCACATAAAGCGGATGGGTGAAGGGGAAGACAATAGCTTTACGGGTTGAAGGAGGGGGATGTCCTTTGCCACGTCCTGCTGGCGCGGCCACTCCACCTAGGAAGGAGAGACGGAGAGGAGGGACGAAGGATGTAGAGCAGGGAAGAGAAACGAGAGTGAGGGCAGGAAAGGTGGCGTAGACGCAAAGAAGGCTTAGGCGGCTTAGGGCAGAGGATAGCAGTGGAGGGAAGGAGAGGAGGAGGGGTAGAAGAAGCATGGCACACACCTTAGCACGCACACCCGACCCGAGGACAACGCCCATGCCTTGACAACTTCCTGAACCACATTTTTTTCAAGGGGAGGCGGCGGCGCTACCTGGGGCGTGGCGTACTTGGGGCAGGCGTTATTCGGGCAGATGAGATCTTACCTGCGACTCGACTGACATGAACCTCCCCCGCCTTGCCACGTGGCCAAACACCGGCTGGTACACCTGCAGACCAGGGACAGGGGAGGGGGCGGAGAGAGGGGTGGAAGAGGGTTGTGCAACAGGGGGGGAGGGGGGGAGAGGGTTGGGCAGAAGGGGTGGGGGGGAGAGGGTTGGGCAGAAGGGGTGGGGGGGGGAAGAAGAGGGTTGGGCAGAGGAGGAGAAGAAGAGGTTTGGGCAGAGGGGGGGGGGGGAGAAGAAAGTTGGGCAGAGGGAGGGAGGGGGGATCTATGGTCGAGGAAAGGGAAGGAGACAACATTCAGGATGCAAAAAAACAGTCCGCATTGGGCTCACCTCCTCTCAACAACTCATCTCCTGTGGGAGGGACAGGTGACTCAAATCAACACTACTCGTGCCCATGCCTACCATGCGCCTCCTCTCTCCCCAACTCACCTTCTCCGTTCTAAACGGCTGTGGGAAGGCGAGGAAGAGTGCCTGAGCGGCCGCCACGTTGCGCGCGCGGATGACAGCAGAGAGCGCGAGCTGGTAGTCCGCCTCTAGCCGGGGGAAGCCGGGCTGCTGCACGAACCACTCTGCTACCTGGAGTTATTAGAGAGAAACGAAGGGGAGAGAAAGGGGGAGAGGGAGGGGAGGGAGAGTTGACAAGCAAATCAGAAGAGAGGGGAGCGGAAGGGAGGGAGGGAATGTAATGAGACTGCCAGCTGGTAAGCTGCCTCGAGCCAAGGAAGCCAGGCCGCTGCACGAACCGTTTTGCAGGGATTTGAAAAGGAGAAGGGGGGGGGGGAGAAAGGGAAAGAGTGGAAGGGCAGGGGGAACTACGCACCTCAAAAGCAGTAGCACCAGCATGAAACCAAAAATGCTGAACCTGCAAACTCCTATGCATGCATGCACGCATGTAACCCCAAACCTGCAAGCCGCTATGCATGTCAGCTGCCGAAGGTGCAAAAACACAATCATGCGAACCAGAAAGCTGCAAAACCTCTAACCATACAGAACCCTAGACCCTGACCCTCTATCTCCCTTACCCATACAGAACCCTGAACCCTGACACTGCATGGATCTCAACACCCCTGGGCCCCGGGAACCCTCACCTCACCACGTGCACCTCTGCAGCCTGCTTGGGGCGGCGGTAGATCTTGAGCTTTTTTATGTGATGCCAAATGCGCACAACCCCTGACACATGAACCAGAAAGCTGCAAAACCCACCCAAACAGAACCCCAAACCCTGGCCCTGCAATAACACCAACACCCTCAGCCACCCCCACCAGACGCACCTCTGCACCTTTCTTGGGGTGACAGCTTTTGAGGCGCCTCAAAAGTCGGAACCCTAACCCTGACCCTGCAACAACCCCCCTACCCCATCCTCCCCCTCTTCCACACCAGACGCACCTCTGCAGCTTGCTTGGGGCGACGGTGGTTCTTCAGCTTCTTGATCAGCTGCAGGGGAGAGTGTGAGAGTGAGGGTGAGAGGGTGTGAGAATGAGAGGGTGTGCGTGAGGCTGAACAGGGATGAGCAGGAAACAAGGGGACAAAGGCTCTTTTACAAGGGGACAAAGGCTCTTTTACAAGGGGACAAAGAATTACTATACAAGCAGAACACAGCTCAATACCATGCGGGCACTGCCCATGACACTATGATCAGCACTTTTCATTCGCGTTACCTTTGTAATCAGATGCACGTCAACGAAGTTACTCACCTGTGTGGCCAGGCGCATGTCAACGGTGTTCCCATTGCTCTCCCACGCCCTCACAATGGGCATGGCGTGGTTGCTGTCCGGCAGCTCCTTGATGTGCTGCCACAGCTGCTCCAGAGGGGCTGCAGGGACGCGATGGGGGGAGGAAAGGAGGAAAACACAGCAAGCCAAGGACGTGTGGAAGGACTAAGAACGGGCATGGTGTGGTTGCTGTCTGGAAGCTCCCTTACGTGCTGCCACAGCTGTTCCGGCGGGGCTGGAGGGGGGGAGCAGGACAAACGGGGACATTGACTTGGGTTGACTCAAACCCGGCAAGCAGGACAAAAGGGCAGCTTGAGTTAAATCCTCTGGCATGCCTACGCAACAGACATGGTGCGGCTTCAGTGGCAGTTGCTTCAGGGCTACCATGGCCGCCGTAAAACGGCTGGAGGAGGGAAGGAAAGAAGCGGGGGGGAGGGTGAGGGCACAAACACGGACCAGGCCCAGGCCCAACGCGACCCACGCCGGCCCGACTCACGAGTGTCCTCACGGGGCCCAGCCCAGCCCTGGACCGGTTCGCTGGGCTAGTGTTCCGCCCAAACCGCCGCAGCCTGGCGCTGCCGCAGTCAGCCTGCAGTCAGCCTGCAGTCAGCCTGCAGTCAGCCTGCAGTCAGCCTGCAGTCAGCCTGCACCGGGCCAGGCCTATTTCCAGCCCGTGTCGGGCCGATAAGTGACGCGTGCGATCCGAGTCGCAGACGTCACTTCTAGGTCGTAAAACTTTGGCCGATAAAACTCATTCTGGCGTTCCTCGTGCCACACTTAAGCTGCCTTCGCACGATCCGAAAAAACCCTCACGATCCGGCCGAACCCCTCCCGACCCGGCCGAACCCCTCCCGACCTGAACAAAAAGGTGACCTGGCATGGGGTTTGGGTTGGGGTTGTCCCCAAAACCCAGAAACTTGTCCCATGGCATGCCACGCCACATCCCATTTCAAGCCATCCCATCCCATCCCACCCAGTCCCACCTCATCCCATTCCTGCCATCCCATGTCATGCCACATGACTCCTCCTTTCACTCACTCTGAAACCCTGGCATTTCCGCATTTGCCCCCCCAACCCCGCCGCTGCTCCCCCCAGCCTCCACCGTTCCGCCCTCGCCCCCCTCCGCGGGAACCTGCGCGTCCCCTGTGCCCTCCGCCACTGCTGAAAACTCCTCCCCCAAATTGCCCTCCGCTGTTGCGGGGGAATCCCCCGCCTCCGCTACAACCTGCGCCGTCCCCTCGCCTTCCGCGACCGCGCTATCCGCCAACGGAGTGTACCCGCTGCTTCCGCTGCTGCTGCTGCCGCCGCTGCTGTCGGTGCTGCTGCTGGCGGTACTGTCGTTGCTGCTGCTGTCGCTGCTGACTCCGTCACCTGCACTAGTAATCGACATCGACGAGTAGATTCCGCCTGCGGCTAGTGAATGGAACGGACTCCTTAATCGGAGCGCGCTATAAGGCGTACACGACGACACGGACTCTCGACGAATCATGCTGTGACTATATCGAGCGCCAAGCTGAGAGGCGGCGAGCGGAGCAGCCTCGCGGGGCGAGGGAGAAGGTGACAGGGCGGGGAGGAGGACACTACGCGCGACGGCGGCGACTGAAGGCACATGGCTGGCGGCGGCGGTAGCGGCGGCGGAAGCGGAGGTAGCAGGGGGGTGGATAGCGGCGGGGGATGGGGTGATCGGGTCAAAGATCGCGTCAGACGAAGCGACAGACGCGGCAGAAGCGGCAAGCGCGTTGGCTGGAGCGCGATCGACGGCGCTGGCCGCGGCACGCGATGAGATCGACGAGATCGCCGACGCGCCGCCGCGCTTGCGGTTGAGCGACGCCCGCAGATAGGCGAGCGAGCGACCCCTCATGCCTGCTGCTGTCGCTGATTCTGCGGGCTGGTGCTGCTGGTGCCGGCGGTGAGGATGGTGGGTGAAATGGCGAGAGGCAACGTGCGAATGCAAAAGGGATCTGGATGGCGCTGCGGGATGGAGGGTGGAGCGGATGGGAGGGAGTGTGCAGCCGAGAGAGCGCGCAACGGCGTCGACCGTCAGAGGGTGCGGGCAGGAAATCGGAAGTGAATTCGGGAATCTCCAGAAGGGGTTTTGGCTCGATCAGGTGCAACAGAAAGCCGCCACAAGAGAATGAATGTCGCGTTACAGAATGTTTCGCTCATCGTATAACACAACATTTCCCTTCCGCTGTGTTGAGGGCAGATTCCATAAGCAAGCACAGATGGTAACACTTCAACAAGTGATCCTAGATAGATATTATCTGGAAAATCAGTCAGTTGCTAAAATATAAAGACAATCAGTTTGACGTTTCAAATAAATAGCACACCCACAAACATCACAAGTCAATACGTGATATATCGAACGGCTGATGATACGGCACCATGTTGAGCGCCAGCGTCCCTTGCCCTTCCACGTGCGCCCCACGTGCATCACCCTCATGCCCATCATCAATCTCATCCACCACCACCTCCACCCCATCCCCCATCGCCACACCTCCACCATTCCCCATTGCCACACCACCACCATTCCCCAACCCACCCTCATCCTCCCCATCACCCTTCTCCTTCCCCTCACCAACTCCCCCATTCAACCAACTCTCACCCTCACCCCCACCCTCCTCCACCATACACCCATCCTCCAAACCCCCACTGCTATCAGAGCTCTCCGAATAACCACCACCACCACCGCCACCACCACCACCAGGGCCATCCCCCAAGCCTTCCAAGATGGGCTCCAGAGGGCTGTCCTCATCAGGGAGAGGCGCGTGCGGGGAGGTGAGGAAGCGGACGACAGAGGCCATGGGGGGCCGCTGGTCGGGGTTGTACTCGAGGCAGAGCAGGGCGATGCGCAGCACGCGCAGGAACTGCTCCTCGTCGAAGCCAGATGCCAGCAGTGCGGGGTCGGCGAATGAATCCAGACCTCCCTCTGAGAGACATGCCTCGGCCTGCTCGGGGGGTGGTGCAGAGCGGTGAGATGGAGAGAGGGACAGCAATGGGAAGGAACTGTTGCTCGTTGAAACCAGAGCCTAGCAGTGCGGGGTCGGAACATGAATCCAGACCCCCCTCTGAGAGACATGCCTCGGCCTGCGTGGGGGTTGGTGCAGGGTGGGTATTTAAAGACAGTTGAGAAGCCACGAGAATGCTGAGGTAGCTGGCTGGCAGCAGGTAGTGAAGTCCAGTCAACAAATTCAACTCCAGCTTTTAAACCTGGTCAACGCAGGTCAACCCAAGTCTCACCCGCTCCAGCAGGTCCTCTGTGTTGTGGAGCGGCTGCCCCTACAGCATAACGGGTGAAGTCCTATCAGCCAGGACAGCTCGAGCCAAATTCAACCTGGTCAACTCAGGTCAACCAAAGTCAACCCAAGTCAACTCAAGTCAACGCATGTCTCACCCGCTCCAGCAGGTCCTCTGTGTTGTGAGGCGACTGGCCTGACAGCAGCTCGAGCAGCACCACTCCGAAGCTGAACACGTCTGCTGCCACGCCCACGCGCTCACTGCCCACGTACTCTGGCGCCACGTACCCCCACGTGCCCAGCACCTGAAGGGATGGGGAGGATGCGTGTGGGGGTGAAAGGGCAGACCTTTTAAAGTCCAAGCTGAACACGTCTGCTGCCACGCCCACATACTTTAGAGCCATGTAACCCCATGTGCCCAGCACCAGCACCTGAGGGGATGGGGGAGGTTGGATGGGGGTGGGGGGGAACTTATCAAAATAATTAGGCTAGGCCCTTGGCTGACCCTACCGCCACTCAACCTGTGCCCCCACGCAGCACACCGCACAGCGCACCACTCACTCACTCACTCATTCACTCAATCTAGTGGTCATGTCGTTGACTCCTTGAGGCATGACCTTGGCCAGCCCGAAATCAGAGATCTTGGCCGCCCCGGCAGCGTCCAGCGGGATGTTAGCGAGCGTCATGTCACCAGAGTCGAGTCAACAAGAGTCAAGAGTTGAGAGCCAATGGTGAAAGGAAGGAGTCCTTTGAGTCGACTCCTCAAGGGGTGAAAAAGGGAGGACGAGGACTCACTCTAGTGGTCATGTCGTTGACTCCTTGAGGCATGACCTTGGCCAGACCAAAATCAGCGATCTTGGCCTCCCCAGCAGCGTCCAGTGGGATGTTAGCGGGCTTCACAGCATCTGAACACGACTCAGCAAGACTCAAGAGCCAAGAGGCAAGTCACAACGTAGCACTCATGGATGTTGTGTGGTAACAACTCGCACACACGACACTCACCCGGGTGGTCATGTCGTTGACGCCTTGAGGCATGACTTTAGCCAGCCCAAAGTCAGCGATCTTGGCCTCCCCAGTGGCGTCCAGCAGGATGTTGGCGGGCTTCACATCGCGGTGAATGATGCGCGGCTCGCACTGCTCGTGCAGGTAGGCCAGCCCCTTGGCTGACCCCACTGCCACACGCACGCGGTGCTCCCAGGTCATTGGGTTGTTCTTGTCTGCTCGGTGGGCAGCGGGTGAGAGAAGGAGGGCAGGGAGGGGTGGGTGGGGATCGGAACATCTCAAGATAAGTGGGCTAGGCACTTGGCTGACCACACTGCCACGCGCACCTGTGTTCCCACGCTGCCAGGGTGTGGGAGCACGCCATTGGGCTCGCTCCCACACCCTGCTCACCACATGCCGACCTGCATGCGAACATACATCTGAAACGAGATGACAGGCTGTCTACACATGCACAACCCCACTAGCCGCAGACAGGTGCGGTGGTGCACGTGCCCGATCACCTCTTTGCCTCTCTGTAACTCCTGACGACATGCAGGACCCCACCAGCTGCACCACGTTGCGGTGGTGCACATGCTCTCCAGCCACACACCACATGCCCCCACACATGTCTGCACACACGTGTACAGCATACCTCTGAGCCGAGACGAGAGGCTGCCGCCGGAAACAAACTCATACGCAAGCAACCTCGAGTCCCCCTCGCAGCAGAACCCCACGAGCTGCACCAAGTTGCAGGCGCGTGTGGCACACACCACATGCCCGTTTTCAGTAGCCCATACCTCTCAGCCGAGATGAGAGGCTGCCACCCGAAACAAACTCGTAGGCCAGCAGGCGCGAGTCCTCCTCACAGCAGAACCCCACGAGCTGCACCAAGTTGCGGTGGTGCACGTGTCCGATCACCTCTATCTCTATCCGGTACTCCGCTTCCCCCTGCCCCCCGCCTGGTGTTGCATGCAGCATCTTCACTGCCACCTCATAGCTGGTGGGTAATGCACGCATGAGGGGAGGGATGAGGGAGGAGGGGGGAGAGGGAGCGGGGTGAGACGTGTTGCGGTGGTGCACGTGTCCTATCACCTCTATCTCTATTTGGTATTCTGCTTCCCCTCATGCAGGTGGCAAGTGTGAGGGGGTGGGGAAGGAGCGGAGTGAGGTGGGGTGGTGGTGCACGTGCCCGATCACCTTAACTCTATCCAGTATTCAGCTTCTCCCTGCCCCCCGCCTGCTATTGCATGCAGACTTTTCACTGCTACCTCGTAGCTGGCTAGAGCACTGCAAAACAAATGGCAGAGTCTGCTTCAAGCCCTGCGACGGCCCGAGCCATAAGCATGCACTTTCCAAAATGAGGGTGTAAGAGTGTACGTGTGGTGTTTGAGAGTTCTCAAAGGACAATCCAATATAGCGTACCCGTCAGAGAGCGCACCCGTCAGAGAGCGCACCCGTCAGAGAGCGTACCCGTCAGAGAGCACACCCGTCAGAGAGCACACCCGCCAGAGAGGCAGAGAGGGAGAGAGGAGAGCGCACCCATCAGAGAGGGTTCCTCGGTACACGTGGCCGATCCGTCCAGGTGGGCAAGTTGCTGCCCACCTTGCCTGGTGGGCAGCGGGGAACGGAAGGAAGAGAAAAGTGGGGAAAGAGAATGGGAGGGAAGAGAAGGAGAGGGGACGGACGAGGGGAGAGAGAAGGAGGGCCCGTGCCCAATAACGTGCATGCATGTCACATGCCCACCCACGTGCATGCATGTCACATGCCCACCCACTTGCATGCATGTCACATGCCCACCCAAGTGCATGCATGTCACATGCCCACCCACGTGCATGCATGTCACATGCCCACCCACGTGCATGCATGTCACATGCCCACCCACGTGCATGCATGTCACATGCCCACCCACGTGCATGCATAGCCCCACAAGATGTGCATGCATACCCACACACCAAGGGTGTGCATACTCCCCACACCATGTGCGTGCATGCATACTCACGGGCACGTGGCACTGCCTCAGCGCCTTCTATCAACCCCTCCTCGCCCGTCCCCTTCCCCTTCCCCCGCCCCACCACTCTCCACAGCACCGCACCCAGCAGCACCGCCACAAGAGCAGCCCCCCCTGCTGCTATGAGAGCAACAGCGGCGGGGGGAAGGGTGGGGGCGGGCGGGGGGAGGGGAGCAGCGGCGGGGGGAGGAGGGGAGGCTGGGCAGATGGAGGTGTTGGGCGGGAGGGTGGGGGTGGGCGTGGTGGTGGGAGTGGTGGCGGCGGCAGCAGGTGCAGCAGCAGCAGCGGCAGCAGCAGCGGCGGAGGGTGGGATGCAGAGGTCAGCGTTGCTGGGAGACAGCCTGGGAGGAGACAGGCGCGACACACACGGGTGGGTGGGTGGGTGGGTGGGTGGGTGGGGCACAGTGAGAGGTGGTTAGAAGGCTCGAGGAGGATGGGCCATGGACTTGAGAGGAGAAGCACCTGAGAGGGTAAGGTAACTTGAACTAGAACGACGGAATTACTTCAGCAAGAATCAGAAGAAGAAGAAAGAAAGGCAAAAACTTAATTTCCAGAAGAACATCCCTCCCGCCCCAACTTCCATCCGTCCCACTTTCACCCACCCCTCCCCCTCTCCTCCTTTCCCGAGAAAAAAACAAACAAACAAACAAACTCAAGGGGAAAGGTTCACCTGAGCGAGAGGCCTGATCGAATGAGCTGAGAAGGCAGCGGGCCTGACAGGGCATTGCCTGCCAGGTCTCTGCGCGTGGGGGTGACACAGAGAGAGAGGGGCAACATTTGATACGTCTCAAACAAGCGCCTGACAGGGCATTGCCTGCCAGGTCTCTGCGCGTGGGGGTGACACAGAGAGAGGGGCAACATTTGATACGTCTCAAACAAGCGCCTGACAGGGCATTGCCTGCCAGGTCTCTGCGCGTAGGGGTGACACTAGGGGCAACATTTGATACGTCTCAAACAAGCGCCTGACAGGGCATTGCCTGCCAGGTCTCTGCGCGTGGGGGGGGAACAGAGAGGGGCAACGTGGGACGAGGGAGGGAATTGGGCCTATAAGCCAGATAAGTGCAGCCAGCAAAGTTACTGGTGGAAAGGGTTGAGACTGAGAGGGGAGACGAGAAGAGCGGGAGACGAGATGTGTTGGCGGATTGATGAATGCCGGACATGGCATACAAGGTAGTGTGTGGGTGGAGGGGACACGGCATAGGTGGTGTGTGGGTGGAGGGGTTGTGAAGGAGAGAAACGGGGAGGGGAAACTGAAGGATGGAACATGATGGGGAAAGGGGATGCTCTGTGAGAGGGAAGTTGATGAGGGTGGAGAAGTTGATGAGGGTGGAGAACAGACTTGAGGAGTTGCTAAGGGTGTGGAACACTGACAAACAAGAGGAAAGAAAACAGCGTTATGGAGTTTCAAGGGCGAGTGGTGAGAGGGAGGGATTCCAGAGTGGTGAGAAGAAATACATAATGGTGACAGGAATTACAGAGTGGTGAGAGGAATTACAGAGTGGTGAGAGGAATTACAGAGTGGTGAGCGAGGTCAAGCCAGACAGGGAAGATGGAAGCGGCCCGGCAAGGCTATTGTTGCTCAGACTCCTGCCGTCACAACATGTGGGTGGGTTGCACGTGCACGGGCAGACAGGTGGCTCAGAGGCACGGGCAGAGAGGTGGCTCAGAGGCACGGGCAGAGAGGTGGGTTGCACAACAAGTGGGTGGGTTGCACGTGCACGGGCAGAGAGGTGGCTCAGTGGGCGGGAGCATGGTTTGATGGGAAGAGACAAGGTATATACTTATACCTGCAGGTTTTAGTTTTGGGTGTAAAGTGAATAATCACCCTCATTGTGGTACACCCAACCCAATTTCACTGGCTTAGAAGTTGCTCACCATGTTTCTTGGAAGAAGGAATGTCCATTCATATTCGCCATGCCCCATTCATTCATATTCGTCATGACTCCATTCACAGTGACTGAAGCGTGCTGGTGGCGCTGACAAACTCCTCTGGTCTGGTATGGTATGCTGCCTGCCGTTGACTCTCCCACCAGATGGCTTAAACTTCTAGGTGCCTCAATCACTGGCCCAGTGCATGCATGGTGCAATGTATAGCGGCGCATGGTGGGTGCAGCAACGCACAGTGACTGAAGCGTGCTGGTGGCGCTGACAAACTCCTCTGGTATGCTGCCGTTGACCCTCGTGCCGGAGATGGCTCTGTGGCATGGGATGGCATGGCATGGCATGGCATGGCATGGGGCATGGCATGGGGCATGGCATGGCATGGCATGGGCCATGGCATGGGGCATGGGATGGGGCATGGCATGGCATGGCATGGGGCATGGCATGGGGCATGGCATGGGGCATGCACACACGCATGCAGGCACTGCAAGTCTTCCAGTCAAGCCAAGCAATATAAAATAGCCATGCAAACTGCTGGAGAGGGTCTAGAGGAAGCTGCGAGGGTTTATTACAGTGCGGTGAGATGGTTTACATTGCGGTGAGATGGTTTACATTGCGGTGAGATGGTTTACATTGCGGTGAGATGGTTTACATTGCGGTGAGAGTCGATGATGTGGCGAAGAAGGAGGGAATGGGGCCCTCCACAGGGCTGTTGAGAATGGAGCTGCATGGGATGGGAACCCAAGGTGAGGTGAGACACGGAGTGAGGGTGGAATGAGGAGCAGGCAGGAAATAATGGGGCGAGTGAGTGTAGGGAGCAGGATGCAATGGAGGCAAGGAGTCCAAGTGGGGAGTGAGTGACGGGTGAGCAAGGACAGGTGGAGAGGGGTGAAAGAAGGTGAGTAGAGGTGAGGAAAGGTGACGAGATGGTGGACGCGCAAGAAGCAAGGAGAGTCACAAGCACAACTATAACAAGGCATGTTAACCCCACTCCTGTCCCATGCGCCGCTCTCCACTCCCACGCACCCCTCTCCACTCCCACGCGCCCAACTGCACAGCCAGAAACCTCACTGCACCCATCAGCTGGAACTGCAGCCCTACCCAGTACCCACGGCAGCCCAGTCAACTCGCACACATCAACAGATACAGTCACTGGTCAGCCACTCAATTCATAGTTCATCAACCATTCGAACTCACGTCAGCTCACAGGTCAACCAGTCAACTCACAGGTCAACCAGTCAACCTACAGGCCAACCAGTCAACTCACAGGTCAACCAGTCAACTCACAGGTCAACCAGTCAACTCACGGGTCAACCAGTCAACTCACAGGTCAACCAGTCAACTCACAGGTCAACCAGTCAACTAACAGGTCAACCAGTCAACTCACAGGTCAGCCAGTCAACTCATAGGTCAGCCAGTCAATTCACAGGTCAACCAGTCAACTCATAGGTCAACCAGTCAACCCATAGGTCAACCAGTCAACTCACAGGTCAACCAGTCAACTCACAGGTCAACCAGTCAACTCACAGGTCAACCAGTGTGGAGCTGCGGAATTGGGGCAGAGTGCCGCCCACCCTTGTGTCGTTGAGCGTACTGCCATAAAGAGGTTGGAGGGGTAACAGGGTTGGGGAGAGGAAGAGGGGGAGGGGGGGGGGGGAGGGGGGAAGGTGGAAAGAGTGGGGAGGGGGGTCCAACGGAAAGAGTTGTTGGGTAGGCGATGGGTGCATGGGAGATGACGATACAAGTGGTGATAACGCGTTGAGGTGATGGGTAGATTATGCCATGACACTTAACTGTCACGCACAAGTCGCCAATGTCACTCACAAGTCGCCAATGTCACGCACAAGTCGCCAATGTCACTCACAAGTCGCCAATGTCACTCACAAGTCGCCAATGTCACTCACAATTCGCCACCAATGTGCAATGATGAAACATGATGGCATGGGGGGGAAACCAGCACGCACGACGAGACAAAGAAGTAACAATATGACCACGACGACTCACGGCAAATCTGCCGGGTCATCTAGAGAGCCGATAGTGGCATGGGCAAGACTCACAAATCTGCCAGGTCGGAGAGGTTTCCCACCGCCGCACTGAGTGTGCCTCGCAGTGCCTGCCCTGAGAGCGTGCTGCGATAGGGGGGCGACGGGATGAGAGGAAGGGTGGAAGGTTGGAGAAACGGGGGGAGAATGGGAGAAAGGGAAGAGGGGGAGAAATGGGGGAGGAGAAGAAAGAGACGATGAATGGGCAACACTGACAAAGCTGCCAGGTCGGAGAGGTTTCCCACTGCCGCACTGCGTGTGCCTCGCAACACCTGCCCTGAGAGTGTGCTGCCATGGGGGAAGGTCGGGATGAGAGGAAGGGGTAAGGTTAGGGGGGGAAGGGAGAAGGAGGGGAGAATGGGAGAAGAGGGGGAGAACGGGAGGAGCGGGAGAAAGGGAGGAGGGGGAGAAAGGGAAGAAGGGGATAAAGGGAGGCGATGAAGAAGAAATGGAGGAGCAGAAGAAAGAGATGATGAATGGGCAACAGAGGGCTCCTATGTCGTAGAGGCTCGCTCCCCATCGCCGCACTGAGCGTACCTCGCAACACCTGACCTGAGAGCGTGCTGCGATAGGGAGAGGTCGAAATGAGAGGATTGGGAAAAGGTTGGGGGAAGAAAGGGAGAAAGGGAGGGAGAATGGGAGGAGAGAGGGAGAACAGGAGTGAGATTTAGGGACGGCAAGAGAGGGGTGACGGGCGACTCATGCGCACACAGACAGCTCTCACAGCAAGAGAGGGGAGACGACGACTCAAGGGACGGCAAGAGGGGGCTCACAGGGAGATGATGCGCTGGTTGGGCTGGCTGGAGACGGTGGGCATGCAGTGCTGCACGGGGAAGGGCGCGCGCTCGTTGCAGGGGAAGGGCACGAGGGGCTGACAGTGCCCTCTACTTGAGGCTACAGCGAAAGGTCACAGGCGCGTTACACTGTACACATGACGCGTTAGGGGCTACACTGAGAGATGGTTCACAGGGACATGATGTGCTGGTTGGGCTGGGCGGACACGGTGGGCATGCAGTGCAGGGGGAAGGGCGCGAGGGGCTGACAGTGGTCTAGTAGACTTGAGGCTAGGCTACAGCGCACAGCGCTCACAGGGACACGATGTGCTGGTTGGGCTGGGCGGACACGGTGGGCATGCAGTGCAGGGGGAAGGGCGCGAGGGGCTGACAGTGGTCTAGTAGACTTGAGGCTAGGCTACAGCGCACAGCGCTCACAGGGACACGATGTGCTGGTTGGGCTGGGCGGACACGGTGGGCATGCAGTGCAGGGGGAAGGGCGCGAGGGGCTGACAGTGGTCTAGTAGACTTGAGGCTAGGCTACAGCGCACAGCGCTCACAGGGACACGATGTGCTGGTTGGGCTGGCTGGACACGGTGGGCATGCAGTGCAGGGGGAAGGGCACGAGGGGCTGACAGTGGTCTAGTAGACTTGAGGCTAGGCTACAGCGCACAGCGCTCACAGGGACACAATGTGCTGGTTGGGCTGGCTGGACACGGTGGGCATGCAGTGCAGGGGGAAGGGCGCGAGGGGCTGACAGTGGTCTAGTAGACTTGAGGCTAGGCTACAGCGCACAGCACTCACAGGGACACGATGTGCTGGTTGGGCTGGCTGGACACGGTGGGCATGCAGTGCAGGGGGAAGGGCGCGAGGGGCTGACAGTGGTCTAGTAGACTTGAGGCTAGGCTACAGCGCACAGCGCTCACAGGGACACGATGTGCTGGTTGGGCTGGCTGGACACGGTGGGCATGCAGTGCAGGGGGAAGGGCGCGAGGGGCTGACAGTGGTCTAGTAGACTTGAGGCTAGGCTACAGCGCACAGCGCTCACAGGGACACGATGTGCTGGTTGGGCTGGCTGGACACGGTGGGCATGCAGTTCAGGGGGAAGGGCACGAGGGGCTGACAGTGGTCTAGTAGACTTGAGGCTAGGCTACAGCGCACAGCGCTCACAGGGACACGATGTGCTGGCTGGGCTGGGCGGACACGGTGGGCATGCACTTGAGAGGGAAGGGCGCGAGCTCGTTGCAGGGGTCCATGGAGGGCCGCCATGCGCGCACGCCCGCGCTGCCCCCGCTGCTGCTGTACACCCCGCGCCACACCGCCACCAGCGCTGCCTCTGCGGTGGTGAGGGGTGGAGAGGAGTGGTGAGGGGTGATGGGGGGTGGTGGGGGATGGTGTGGTGTGGGGTGGCGGGGGTTGGTACAGAATGAGGCTGGGCTGGGCCACCACGCGCGCACGTCCGCGCTGCCCCCGTTGCTGCCGTACACCCAGCGCCACACCGCCACCAGCGCTGCCACTGCGGTGGTGAGGGGTGGAGAGGGGTGGTGTGGGGCGGTGTGGGTTGGCGGGGGGTGGTGCGGTGCGCAGTCGTGGGTGAAGGGTGGTGTGCAATGAGGTAGTGAGCCAAGGCGATGTGGTGGTGGTGGGAGGAGAGAGTAGGGTGATGGTGGGAGAGAGAGGGTCACTCAAACCGCTGCTACTGCTACCGTTCCACCGAGAGGAGAACCAGAGCGAACCAGAGCGAACCAGAGCGAACCAGAGCGAGCCAGAGAGAACCAGAGAGAACCAGAGAGAACCAGAGAGAACCAGAGAGAACCAGAGAGAACCAGAGAGAACCAGAGAGAACCAGAGAGAACCAGAGAGAACCAGAGAGAACCAGAGAGAACCAGAGAGAACCAGAGAGAACCAGAGGGAACCAGAGAGAACCAGAGAGAACCAGAGGGAACCAGAGAGAACCAGAGAGAACCAGAGGGAACCAGAGAGAACCACAGGGAACCAGAGAGAACCAGAGAGAGGTACGTCGTGCCATAGGGGTGGCAAACAGCTGACGGGCTGTAAGCTCAGAGCTGGCGGTGGGCTTGGGGTGGGCGGTGGGTTGGACGGGGGGCTCACGGTCTTGCGGCGCGGTGAGGCTGCGGGCGGTCGGCAGCACCGTGGCGGTCATGAGCAGCGCCATCCACCACGCCACCACCGCCACGGTCGCCGTGACGCCCGTTGCTCTCAGGCTCACTCCCCTGTCATTGAATGTGCGTGCTGTTATCGGAGCCAGCAGTATCGGGGATACTAGGAGGTCCATGATCGCCAAGGAACAGGACGACAGCAGCCAGCCGTTTGAAAGCCCGCGAGAATCAGCCGCTTGAAGAGATAACGTCGACTACGTCGAAACCTCTGTGCGTTCCTACTACTAGTAGCTCGGACGGAAACCACGCCGCCGGACTCTCAGAGAAGGAAGGCGCTTCGCTGGAACTCCTTTTGAAGAACGCGATCTGAAATGCCGTGCTGACCGAAACGTCGCGCCCGGGAATGCGTGGGAACCGTGAAGGGCCAGCAGAGGCGGTACAAGGATTGACATGTGATGAGAGGTAAGTCGAGATCCAAAGGTCGTTCGACCCTCGTTTCCCTTCGTCTCCTTCTCTCCCCCGGTCCCCATCGCTTGCACAGCTCCTGCGCGGTACCAACGCGAAGGCGGTTAGCGTGGGACGGGCGTGAGACGGGGTGGTGGTTAGGCGGGAGTGTCAAGGGCGCCAGATCAACGAGAGGACGGTTGCGCGCAACTGCTGCTGCTGCAGTGGAGGGGAGTTGAGTGACGAATCAACTGACCTAACAGCTCCCACCACTTGAGATGGTTACCGCCGAGTTACAATGTTGCTGATCAATGTTGGAAGCTAGTGCCTTTACTATCTCAAGCTTTCACCCCACCAACTGCCTGTCATTTCGGTTTGAGAAACATATTTCCTCGAAAAGAAACTCGCTGGTATCAGTAACGTTTCTCCATTGTGCATGTTTTGCAAAAATTCATCAATAATAAAAGGAAAGTTAGAAAAACTTTCCTTTTATTATTGATGCATTTTTTCAAAAAAAGTAATACGGTATAGCCGTAACAGCAGCACTCCTCAACTGAAGAGTGCATGATATGCAAGCGGGGTTTAAATGTTGGACCTTGTAGCAGGTAACCCTACGATTGTGATTTACCGAGCGCAAATGTACCATCCTTTAGAGAAGCTGTACCGCGAAACGAAGTATTGTTGAACTCGGGATCAAAGTGTGATTTTCGCACGATCGAGCTGCTGGTTCGGCCAGTCAATAAATGTACCAGGTCGATCTGACTGGGAAGCTCTTGATAATTTCGACCAACCAGGGACTTGCGCGAAAAAATCGAGATGCCTCCGTCTGAAGGTCGCGAAGATGCTGGTTTCCGAAATCGCTTTCGCGACAGGTGACCGAGTTTCCGGTCACATTGCAGCCGATGATCTTGACCGAAATGCAATTTTGCAAACCTACAAATTCGTGAACAAACCGCGTTACGTAACACGAACTGAAAGTCCTAGACCTCGGCTGACAACTTTGTTCATCTTGAATCTCCTACGAGCCTGCAATCGAGCCCATCGTTGTTCGAACCATATTTTGCACATAATGCACCACGCCCTGACGAGAGTAGCACACGAAGGGTATGGATTCCTGCATCCGCTTCACCACCGTCGTGTCACCTTCACTCAGCGCCTAGATTCCTCTGTTGTCTAGCGCGCGTGCGTGTAAGGAACTCCGTCGTTCTTAGATCGAACGCGTAGCGGTTGCGACGAGACGAGATGGCGGGTCAACCGGAGCCGAAGCAGACGCCGGAGGACGTGAAGATGGACGTCTTCGAGGACGACGACGAGTTCGAGGAGTTCGAGAACGAAGGTGCGCCCTTCGAGCAAACGTCTATATAACTCCCGTCCTGCGAATTTGATTAGACGATGAACGTCCACCCATTCAAATAGGCTGTGATTGCGTATGACACTAATTGGACTGAGTTAGGACCGTAATTCATGAAGTTCCATCTGATGTTTTGGTTTCTCGCTGAAGTGTCGCATCTGTAGATCTCGTTCTGTGAATTACACCTACCTTATAACGGCTGGAAATGACGCTTTCATAGAGTACAATTGTAGCTCCCAAGATGCACGACCTTTCCGTAGGACCCCATGCGACCTATTCATGCGTCCTTCCCGTGCGACCTCCTATGCGACCTTCCCATACGATCTTCCGTCCATGCCACCTTCTCATGCGACCTTCCCGTACAACCTTCCGTATGACCTTCCCGTGCGAACCCCCATGCCACCTTCTCATGCGATGCGACCTTCGTTTGTATCCTGGTAATGAGTGATCTCCATGTGCCCGACTCTCAGCTGACAGGGCAACCCGCGTGCTGCAGATTAGTATGCGAGCTGGCAGGCGGTGGAGGAGGTGAGCTGGCAGACGGTGGAGGAGGTGAGCTGGCAGGCGGTGGAGGAGGTGTTGCAGCAACCAGAGGACGACCCGAACGACTTCCCCTTCTCCTTCTCCCGTCCCCCAATCCCCTTCTTCTCCCCCCCCCCCCCCTCTTTTTCCCCCCATTCCCCCTTCCCCCGCTCCGCCCCCCCCTCCCTCCTGTGCTGCGAAATGGGACGAGAGCTGGTAGATGGGGGACGTGGTACACCGATCAGAGGGCGACTGAGATGACTCCGCGTTTTTATTATCCCGTTTCTCTGTTCCCCCTCCCCCCATTTCCCTCCCCCTTCCCTTCCCTTCCCCTTTCTCTCCCCCTCCTCTTCCCGCCTCCCCCCCTCTCTTTTCCCACCTCCCCCCCTCTCTTTTCCCACCTCCCCACTTCTCTTTTCCCGCCTCTCCCCCTCTCTTTTCCCGCCTATCCCCCTCTCTTTTCCCGCCTATCCCCCTCTCTTTTCCTGCCTCTCCCCCTCTCTTTTCCCGCCTATCCCCCTCTCTTTTCCCGCCTCTCCCCCTCTCTTTTCCCACCTCCCCCCCTCTCTTTTCCCACCTCTCCCCTTCTCTTTTCCCGCCTCTCCCCCTCTCTTTTCCCTCCTCTCCCCCTCTCTTTTCTCGCCTCTCCCCCTCTCTTTTCCCGCCTATCCCCCTCTCTTTTCCCACCTCTGTATGCTGCTGTTTGGGACGAGGGAGCACAGGACGTGGTGGTGCTGCACCAGTGGGAGGACCACTGGCATGACTCTCCTCCTCCTCTCTTCCCCCTTCCGCCCACCTCTCCTTCTCCGCCCTCTTTTCCTCCGCCCCGCTATCTCACAGACTGGGACGAGAGTGCACAGGACGTGGAGGTGGTGCATCAGTGGGAGGACGATTGGGACGATGATGACGTCAACGATGACTTCTCACAGCAGCTCAGAGCCGAGCTCGAGAAGTCCACGTAGCGTCGGGTGACATACGTACCTTTGAGTCTTACACATGGCAGGTCAACATGGGTGTTTACACATCTGTGGTACTTGAGTGATGCGACATCTTCCCAGCAGCTGAGAGGGGGGCTTGAAGAGTCAACATGTATGTACCCTGGCTGGGTGGCACGGCATACTCTCAACGCGACAGGATGCATGCACATGCCTGCTTTTGTAGTAACGCATTTCCTGGAAGGGTCCTGTATATTGACTAAGTAGGTACTGGTAGTTGTTTTCATGGTTTGTGATGAGCGGCTGTTCTAGCTGTTTGACAGCAGGTGCAAGTCTTTTGGACAAGGCAGCTGCTTTCCGCTTGGGCAGTAACTACCATAAATCTCAGATGTGTTCAAAATCCTTTCAAACGCAGTTTAGATAGTAGATACACGACCATTATAGATAAACATCCATTGATTCCTTCCTGACAAGGTACTGTAGTTAGAATGATATTGTCAGATGTGGTAGTCTTAATGAGGTGTGTTATAGGGGGTACAACTGTTAGGGTTAGGTTTATGTACCCCAACCAACCTTAGTCAAGTCAACACTTTCATTCTTGACATGGTATCACCTAGGTTAGGATCCTGTGGGATCCCGTTCCTCTCGTTCACGTTAGTAGCGCCTGAGCCTGTCCCGTACCCTAGTGCCCATCACGCCCCTAACGCGTAGTCGACTGTTACCGCTGCGCCTGTTTGGTCCCGTCGCGCCTTTAGCGCGTGCCCGTTCCGTTACGAAGCGCCCGAAGCGCTAGCACTCCCCGTAGCGTCACGTCCCCTGCCCGTCCCGTCCTCTGCCCGTCCCGTCCCCTGCTCGTCCCGTCCTCTGCCCGTCCCGTCTCCTGCCCGTCCCGTCCCCTGCCCGTCGCGTCCCCTGCCCGTCGCATCCCCTACCCGTCGCGTCCCCTGCCCGTCGCGTCCCCTGCCCGTCGCGTCCCCTGCCCGTCGCGTCCCCTGCCCGTCGCGTCGCGCTGCCAGTCCCGTCCCCTGCCCGTCGCGTCGCGCTGCCAGTCCCGTCCCCTGCCCGTCGCGTCCCCTGCCCGTCGCGTCGCGCTGCCAGTCCCGTCCCCTGCCCGTCGCGTCACATTGCCGTCCCGTCCCCTGCCCGTCGCGTCCCCTGCTCGTCGCGTCGCGCTGCCGTCCCGTCCCCCGTCCGTCGCGCCCCCGCTGCGCCCTGCCCGTCCGTGGCGCCCCGTGCGCCCTGCCCGTCCGTCGCGCCCCCGCTGCGCTCTGCCCGTCCGTCGCGCCCCGAGCGCCCTGCCCATCCGTCGCGCCCCGTGCGCCCTGCCCGTTCGTCGCGCCCCGTGCGCTCTGCCCGTCCGCGCCTGTTGTGCCCGTCCCTGCCAGTTGCGTCCTGTCACGTCGCACCGCACTGTCTGTCACGCTCTACGCAGGTCCTTCAGTCGTTTAGGGTTTCGGCAACAGCAGTTCCCACCCCTTCGCTACCGCTATGGCGACCCCTAGGGTTCTGCGCATGGACGCTGAGGGTAGGCCGCTTGAGTTCTCCGTCTAGCTCCTGCGTGCGCGCCGCCTTTTAGAGAGTCAGGTTCAGGCAGATGAGTCTCTGTGGGCGCACGCTTCTGGCGACCTTCCTAAGCCCGACGATCCTGCACCCTTAGGCACTGACCATAGCGATGCAGCTAGAGATCGTTATGCCCGTCAGCGTGCTGACCTCACAGCGTGGAAGTCGCGTAACGCTGCGGCCTGCATCGCCCTCAACAGCCTCCTCCCTGAGTCTGAGGAGGCCCACTTCACTCAGGTTCGCTCGGCTAGTGATTTCCTGACTGCGATCAAGGCCCGCTACGCTACTCCCACCACTGTCTCTCTTGGTCGCCTGTTCCTGCCGTTCCTTTTTCCTGACCTCGCCTCGTTTGAGCGCTCTGCTGACTTGATCGCTCACTTGCGCTCGCTCGATTCCAGCTACCGCGCTGCCTGCACAGACGAACATCTTGCCCCTATGGCGATTACTATCTATTTCATTGCCACTAACCTCCCTGGCCGCCTTGCCTCGGTTCGTGACGAGCTTCTTCTGAAGCACCCTAGCAAGCTCACTATCAAGGTCGTTGAGTCTGCCCTCAAGGAAGTCGAGAGCAACCTCCGCTCGGTTGCCTCCGCCTCTGGTGCTGTGCCCCCTCCACTGTTTCACGGGTGCACTGTCCCTCAGCTGCCCACCTTTACTGCCTCCCTTGCCACTGCCACTACTGACGTGACCGCAGCTGCTGTTACGACTTCTTCGCGGTCTAGGGGTAGGAGCGGTAGGAGAGGCGATCAGGGTGCGGGCGGAGGTGGCGGAGGCAGTGGGGGTGACGTGGCGAGCGGCGGCGGCGGGAGTGCAAGGGCTAGAGGAGCGCCTCGTGCAGCGGCTGGTGACTCCCCTGCTGCAGCTGGTGGAGGTGACGCCCGGGTTCGTCAGCCACCTACTGGTCTGCCAGCTGCAGGGGGTGGAGCAGCGGCGTGGTACCTGACTCAGCGACAGCAGCAGTAGCCCCTCCCCTCGCAGCAACCATAGCAGCAGCAGCGGTCTGGACCGCGTCAGCTGTCGCGTGGTGCCGTCCACCCTCCCTGCACCTATCTCGTTAAGACAGGTACTCGCCGAGGCCTCCCCTGTGGCCGCACCCACCCACCGGGTCAGTGCTTTGCTGAGCTCACTGACACACTTCGTGCGGCCTACGGGGTTGACGGCCCTGCCCCTGACTGGCTTCCCCTTGTTCAACGATACGGCCCCGCTCTGTGGGGCATGTCGTCTTCTCAGTTGCTTGATCTCTTAGGAACTCCTCATGCTATGTATGTTGTTGTTGACTCTAGTGCTTCTGACTCGGTTTACTCGAGTGTTGTTAGCTTAGGTGCTTGTGTTGCTGAGGTGCTTGTTGCTAGCGTAGGTACTTGTGTAGACACTAGTCCAGTAGCTGCTTCGGAGGACACTTTGCTGTCGTTCACTCTGGACTCCGGAGCTTCGCACTGTTTCTTCCGCGACCACACGACGCTTACTCCGCTTCCTGCGCCGGTCTCTGTAGCACTGGCTGATCCCACTTCGGGACCAGTCACTGCTCGCTACACTACTACGCTTCCGTGCCCAGCAGTTCCCTCGGGTTTCCTGACGGGCTTCCACGTCCCCTCGTTCTCCAGGAACTTGGTGGGTGTGAGGCCGCTCGTGAGAAGTCACGTGGGTGTGTGGATTGAGCCTTCTGGCGAAACTGCGGTTTGTGTCGACGGGACACGTACGCGCCACTGGCCACCTTTACCGCTAAGCCGGGCTCTGGTCTCTACACACTTCACACTGGCCCTCGGTAGCAGCAGCAACAGTAGCAGCAGCGGCAGCAGCAGCAGCAGCAGCAGCAGCTACTGCCCCCGACCACTGTCACTGCCCCCCGTCAGGTCCCCCCGTCTCACCAGGTTGCCGCTTCTCACCAGGTAGCTGTGTCTGGTCAGGTTTCCGTGTCTGGTCCAGTTGCTGCGTCTTGCTCCTGCCGGTCACTTGCCCACCCCACCGTTCTGTGGTACCACCGGATGGGGCACCCGTCCATTCCTCGCATGCGCGCTATGTCTAGTCAGCGTCTTGTCTTAGGCCTCCCGCGAGTCTTGCCGTCGCTGCCGCCTTCGCTTGCACCACCTTGCGGTCCCTGCGCCGAGGGTCGGCTGCGCGCCACCCCTCACTCCTCCTCCCTTCGTCCGGCCACCAAGCCCTTCGAGACTCTCCACTTGGACGTATGGGGCCCCGCCCCTCGCCCTGGCCCTGAGCGAGAGAATTTCTTTATGGTGGTCGTTGACGACTACTCTCGCTATACCACAGTGTTCCCCCTGGCGAAGAAGTCTGAGGTGACTTCTACGCTGATCCGGTGGTTACTTACCACTGCGGACACTCGTGGTCGTCGTGTCAGCTGTCTTCACTCCGACCGTGGGGGTGAGTTTCGCTCCGGCATTCTCGCTGGATTCTGTCACGAGCAGGGCATCCGTTAGTCCTGGACGCTTCCAGAGTCCCCACAGCAGAATGGGGTTGCTGAGCGCCGCATAGGCTTGGTCATGGAGATTGCACGCACCTCCATGATCCACGCCCGTGCGCCCCATTTTCTGTGGCCCTACGCGGTTCGGTACGCCGCTCACCAGCTGAACCTCTGGCCACGTGTCTCTTGGCCAGAGGCTTCACCGACCAGTCTTTGGACTGGGTCCCCTGGTGCTGCGTCGCGTTTTCGTGTCTGGGGCTGTTTGGCGCTTGTTCGCGACACCTCCGCGGATAAGCTCTCCCCTTGCGCCCTTCCCTGTGTCTTCCTTGGTTTCCCCGTGGACTCCTCTGACTTCACCTTTTACCACCGTCCCCTTCACCGGTTCTTTGACTCCCGCGACGTTTGTTTTGTCGAGTCAGTCCCCTACTACACCCGGTACCCCTGTCGAGGTCTTTTGGTTCCTCCTCCCCCTCTCTTCCTGACTCCCGCCCCCCCTCCTGCCCCTCCGTTACAGCCCCCCCCCCTGGTCCAGCCCCATCAGGTGTGTCACACGCTACCCCTCCCCCCTCGGTAGCCCCTCAGGTGCCGTCCCCTTCCCCACAGTCCTCCTCACAGCCTACTGCAAACCCTGTGGGAGCAGGTGCTCGTGTCGAGGACCCTGGGGCTGCTACCTCTGGAGGGGTTGGAGTTGGAGCTGAGAGTGTGCCTCCACGAGGTTCTGGTGCCGGAGGTGCTGGCGTTGGAGCTGAGCCCGAGTCTGCAGGAGGTTCTAGTCTTCAGGGAGCTGGTGTTCGTCGCGCTGTCCCTGGGGGTGCTACGACTGGGGGTGCGGGTGCGCCCCCTATGGGACCGGGAGAGTCTGGGACTAGCCGTGTTGCTGCTGGTGGTGCTGGATCTGGGGGTGGTGTGACTGGTTCTTTGGAGGGCGGTCCTGGGGCTACCACCGCTCCGGACACTACTCCTCCCCCCCACCCCTACCCGACCCGGCACCAGGCCCGTGTTCGCCGTGCCCGTGAGGAGCAGCTGGAGTTGGAGCAAGAGGAGAGAGAGTTGGAGCGGCAGCAGCTGGAGCTACAGCGGCTGGAGGAGCCGCAGCAGCAGCAGCTGGAGCAGCAGCAGCAGCAGCAGCATCAGCCGGAGCAGGAGCAGCCGCAGCAGCAGCCGCAGCAGCAGGAGCAGCAGCAGCCGCCACCTCCTCCTCCTGTCTCTGGTCTTCGGACCCTCGGTCTCCCCTCTCCCTCTCCCCCCCCCTCTCCCTCTCCTCCTGTCTACGGTCCCACGTTTCCTCCTCCTGACCCCACTCCAGCTGTTTTCCCTCGTTCTCAGCCTCCGTTGTCCCCTCCTCTTTCTCACGCTTGGACTTCTCGCTCTCCTCGTGCTCGTCCCTCGTCCCCTGTCCCTCTCTCAGACCTTCGTACTGCCCTGTTTCGTTCTATTCCGCCTCGTTCGTCTCCTTCTGTACTTCCTTCTCCTCCTGATTCGGCTCTCACTGCTTCCCTCTCTACTCCTGTCACGGACTACTACCGCACGTACCGTCCTGTTCTCTCTCGTGTTCTCGCCTCTCTTGTTACCGACCCACGTGCTTCTCTGTCCTCTGTCTCCGCTCTTAATGCCGCAGTCACTGAGTTTGCCTCTACTCGCCGCCTTGACTACGCCACCAGTCTTGTGGCTGCTCCTCCTACCAGTCCTCTGGCCGTCGGGGGTGAGTCTGCCCTTGGCTGTGACGCCCTAGAGGACAGGCAGTTTGAGCTAGAGTTCCTGGCAGCCGCTTCCCCTCATCTCTGTGCCATGCTGCTCGCCTCTGAGGGAGACCCCGACGCCCTTGACATACCGACTCCTCGCACTTACGCTGAGGCAGTGTCAGGGCCTTGGGCCTCTCAGTGGAGAGCTGCCATGGACTCAGAGATGGCCTCCTACAGATCCACAGGCACTTACGTCAACGAGGTTCCCCCCCGTGGGACGAACGTAGTCGATGGCATATGGATCTTCAGGGTGAAGCGGCCACCGGGATCTCCTCCGGTCTTCAAGGCACGCTATGTGGCTAGAGGTTTCAGTCAGCGCGAGGGAGTTGACTTCTTTCAGACCTTCGCGCCTACCCCGAAGATGACCACTCTTCGGGTGTTACTGCACGTAGCAGCACAGAGAGACTACGAGTTACACTCTCTCGACTTCTCCACTGCTTTCCTTCAGGGTAGCCTACACGAGGAGGTCTGGCTGCGTCGTCCCTCTGCTTTCACCGGCACTTTCCCTCCTGGGACCCAGTGGAGGCTGAGGCGACCAGTCTACGGCCTCCGTCAGGCTCCTCGTGAGTGGCACGACACCCTTCGTTCTACCCTGTCTGACCTCGGTTTCCAGCCGTCTTCTGCCGACCCGTCGATGTTTGTTCGGCGTGGCTCCACACCGTTCTTTGTACTGGTCTACGTCGACGACCTGGTTTTCGCCACTGCTGACAGGGTTGCTTTGGCTGACGTGAAGCGCGAACTGCAGAAGAGACACACGTGCACTGACCTTGGTCAGCTGCGCCACTACCTTGGCCTGAAGATCACCAGGGACAGAGCCGCTCGCACCATTACACTCTCACAGTCACACATGGTGCAGCAGGTCCTTCAGCGGTTCGAGCTTCAGCACTCCACAGTACAGCGTACACCTCTTGCTGTTGACCACAGACTCACTGGACCCTTCTCTGACGAGCCGTTTGAGCCTAGTGGTCCTTACGCAGAGCTTGTGGGCTGCCTCATGTACCTGATGACTTGTACTCGCCCGGACCTCGCCTTCCCTCTCAGCATCATGGAGGTACGAGCGACCTCCATGACTAAGCCAATGCGGCGCTCAGCAACCCCATTCTGCTGCGGAGAGGCCGGAAGCGTGAACGTCTGGCGGATGCCGTGCTCCGCACAGAAGGCTGCCAAGAGATCTGAGGAGAACTCACCACCTCTGTCAGCGTGCAGACGCAGGACAGGAAAGTCCGACTGAAACCGCTCGCGGAGCTGGAGACGAACAGCGCGGATCCAGGGGATCAAAACATCAGGGACATCCGCCTTGCGCTGCAAGGGGAAGACCGTGGTGTAACGCGTGTAGTCGTCGACGACCAGCAGGAAGTACCGCTCGTGGCCCTGTCCACGGACGCGGGCTGGGCCCCACACGTCCAGGTGGAGAGTCTGCAGGGGAGCCTCTGTGGGAGGAAACGAGGAGGAGTGAGGAGCGGCGCGCTGCCGCCCCTCGACACAGAGAAGACAGGGAGGAGCAGGCGAGGGTGGTAGAGGAGGCAGAGTCTCTGGAAGTCCAGAGACAAGGAAACGGCGGTGCATGCTACGAAGGCGCTGCACCGAGGGGTGACCAAGGCGGTGGTGCCAAAGGAGGGTCTGGTGCGACAAAGCGCGACACGAGCAGGGGGCCGCTAGCTGACCTGACGCAAACGCAGACGCAGACGCAGCTACCTGAGGGGACACAGTGGTCAGTGTGTACAGACTCGAGCCAGGCGCGGCTCGCTTTGTTGCACCAGGGAGACACCGTCCAGTTCACTGGACAGCTGCTGTGAGGGTGGCGAAGTACCTAGCGACGACATCAGGCGTGGGGCTGGTTCTTGGAGGGCAGCAGTCTGTTGTACTTACTGGACACTGTGACTCTTCTTACGCTAATGACGCCGAGACTCACAGGTCTACTCAGGGGTACTGTTTCAGCCTGGGCTCTGGAGCTGTTTCGTGGAGGTCCACGCGTTCCTCCTCGGTCTCGACCTCTACTGCTGAGGCTGAGATCTACGCTGGAGCCATGGCTGCACAGGAGCTGCGTTGGTTGACCTTCTTGCTCACCGACCTTGGTGAGCAGCCGAGCTTTGCACCGACCTTGTTCACTGACAACAAGGCGTCGATTCTCCTCTGTCGAGAGCCGCGACTGGAGAGCAGAGTGAAACACATCAACGTCAAGTATTTTCTTCTGCGAGAGTTGCAGAGGCGTGGACAGGCTCGCTTCGACTTTGTGGAGTCCGAGGCCAACACTGCAGACATCTTCACCAAGGCGCTTCCGCCTTGTGACCACCAGAGGTGTTGTGTGCAGTTAAGTCTCGTTGACACAGGTTCTCGCCTTACGTTGTCTTGAGTTCTCTGCTTGCCTTGTTTGTACGCTTTATATATACCTTTGTGAACTCATGAACTAACCTTGTGGCTCTTTTGCTTGAGCTCGGAGTGTGTGGTGACGTTGTGATCCACCCTGAGCTTTGTTTCGTTGTGACTGGTCTTGTGACCGTACACTTTTGGTTTTGCTTGACACCCCTCACTTAGACTATGGGGGTGTGTCAGATGTGGTAGTCTTAATGAGGTGTGTTATAGGGGATACAACTGTTAGGGTTAGGTTTATGTAACCCAACCAACTTTAGTCAAACCAACACTTTCATTCTTGAGAGATACCAACCATTCTTGCAACCATACAGCAACCATATTCTAACATGCACCATCAGATCACAATCCATGCCAGTGTGACCAACAGTAAATCCTCTGCCGCCTGTGCTCCAGCCAGCCAGAAAGGGGGAGTAATGGCCGTGAAACTTCAGCGAGAGAAGAAAGGAGAAGCAGGGCTATCCAAGGCGGGCCTTGTAGAGCAGAATGTAAGCCATGTGCCAGTCGCCTGCAGCAAGGGAGAGAGGCATGTGATGGGGAGGGTCATGGCCATGGGGGTTCAGCACGAGAGGAGAGAAGCACTAGTCAAAGGGCGCCTTGTAGAGCAGAATGTAGGCCATGTGCCAGTCGCCTGCAGCAAGGGAGAGAGGCATGCGATGGGGAGGGTCATGGCTATGGGGGTTCAGCACGAGAGGAGAGAAGCACTAGTCAAAGGGCGCCTTGTAGAGCAGAATATAGGCCATGTGCCAGTCACCTGTAGCAAGGGAGAGAGGCATGAGATGAAGGGTGCAGATGTGGATACGGCTTAGCATGTAACTAGCTGCTAACGCCACGTGCGTTTGATTCCACATGACAGAAAATGGCAGCTACTGAGCGTGATAAGTATGATGATTTGTGACTATATACGTGATTATGAGGCAAGTGATTACCAGGCACGTGAGGCATGTGACAACTCCCACTGCTCACCTCCCCCTGCGAGGTTGACGATCTCCTCGTTGCGCATAAATTTGGTGGTGACTATATCGTGCGTGACACAAACACACACGTGACAACAAGGCATGTGGCAGGCACACAGCTCACCTCCCCCTGCAAGGTTGACGATCTCCTCCTCGTTGCGCATGATGGGCTGCTCGTCATCGAACTCTATCCACTTGCCTGCAAAGGAAAGGGAGGTTGGGGAAGGCGGGGGGTTGGGGAAGGGGGTGAGGCGAGGGGGTTTGACCCTGAGGGTGGGAGGCATGATGGGCTGCTCGCTGTCAGACTCTATGCACTTGCCTGCAAGGGAAAGGGTAAGGAAGGGGAAAAGGGAGGGAGGTGAGGGGAAGGGGGTGTTGACCTTGAGGGTAGGGGGGATGATGGGTTGTTTGCAATCAAAATCAATCCACTTGTCTGAAACGAAGCAATGGAAACGAGAGAGGGGATAAGGGGAGAGGGTGGGAGAGACATGAAGGCTAGGGGGCACAATTGCCTGCAATGCACACGGAAGGAGGTTGGGATGCAGTGTGGTGGCCAATGACATAGAAGATGGAAGGCAAGAGCGAATGCAAAGCATTTCTCAGAATTCTACAAGAATCCCTGATGGCATGAGTGAGTGCTTGGGGCTGAACTTTATCCACATGCCTACTGTGCAGCCAAGGGTAGTGCGGCGAGGTGATGTGGGGTGGTGGGGCATGGATAGGACAGTGTAGGAATCTCTTAGCACTTAAAAAAAAAAAAAAGGGACAAGGCATAGACGGGACAGGGCAGGAAAGTCTTAGCATTGAAACATGTCTCAACAAGACAATGCATGGATGATGAGGTCAAAAGCAGTGCAGATCATTGGTATATGATGAGGTCAAAAGCAGTGCAGATCATTGGTATATGATGAGGTCAAAAGCAGTGCAGATCATTGGTATATGATGAGGTCAAAAGCAGTGCAGATCATTGGTATATGATGAGGTCAAAAGCAGTGCAGATCATTGGTATATGATGAGGTCAAAAGCAGTGCAGATCATTGGTATATGATGAGGTCAAAAGCAGTGCAGATCATTGGTATATGATGAGGTCAAAAGCAGTGCAGATCATTGGTATATGATGAGGTCAAAAGCAGTGCAGATCATTGGTATATGATGAGGTGAGCCATGGACGAATAAAACATGGGATGGGATGGGATGGGATGGGATGAGATGGGATGGAGGGACGAAACATGCGGCAACTTTTGACAGGTTGGAAACACACTGTTCATGCCACATACCACTCCCCTGCTTCGCCCATTCACGCCACGTACATACCGATCCGTACTGCACTGTACCACACAGTACATGCCACATACCGCTCTCCTGCTTCACCCATGCCACATAATGCCCTGAGTCCGCGCTCCTGCCCTTGTGCGTCAGCACTGCCGTCAGGTCAAACAGCCCCGTGGCTGGACGGGTGGGGCAGGAGGGGGGCGGGGTTGGGAAGGAGGCGGGGAGGGGGAAGGAGAGCGGTGAGTGGGATGGGAGGGTCACATAGGCCCCGCAGTGCACGTTGCTGGCCTTGTGTGACCGCACAGCTGAACAGCCCGGTGGCTGTGTGGACCGGGTAGGAGCGGAGCAGGTAGGAAGCAGCATGGATGAATGGAACTGAGAGGATCACACACTCCCCCAAACCAAAGCCGCACCCCTGTCAATCGAACAGCTCCGTGGGTGTGAGGAATGGGCAGGGTGGTGGGGAGGAGGCGCCATATTCAGAGCATGTTATAGAAGAAACTGTTTTTTTCTTAATTTAAGAAATTATCTTACTCATATAGCATGTGATGGGATGAAGAACCATTCGTCCATGGCCACACAGGAGACTGGGCTGGCTGGCAGCTTATGCCAACAAAAGCATGAGAGAAGTGCGTGATCAAGCAGCTTATGATCACCTAATTATGCAGATTATGACAGAAGTGCGTGATCATGACCCGTACCTTCTCCACTCTCGCTGTCCGCGTTGGTGGAGGCAGAAGCATCGGAAGCCTGCATGGTGAAGGTGGGTCAGAGGAGAGAGCGCAGTGCAGTGCAAGGTGGGATGATTCAAAGATGGGACGAATCTACAATGGGATGAGTCACCAAGAAATGAGGCAAAGCTACCTCTCACAAAAAACTCCTTGCTTGTTTGTTCCTTCAGTGGCCACCCCTTGAGTCATTCTTTGCACCTCTGCTCGTCCCGTATCTCTTACCTTGCAGCTCTTCTTCATAGCCCTCCCGTCCTTCCTATCCCACAATCCCCTCTGTAACACTACCCCAATCCCACAAGTCACACTCCGTTGTCCCTCACCTTTCCAAGTACAGCCTTCATCCCTCCCTCCCTCCTCACATGCCCAGATGGAGACTTCATCCCTCCCTCTTCCTCACCTGTGCAGTCGCAGTCCCATCCACATCCATGGCTGCGCCTCCCCCTCCCTCCTCCTTCCCCTCTCCTGCCTCCCCCGCCCCACCCTTCGTCTCTGCTCCCTCTGCCGCACCCCCTGTCTTCCCCTCCGCACTCCCACTCCCCTCCGCTGCCCCTCCCAGCCCCTTAGCCGCAATGCCCCCTTCCACCTCCATCTTCTCCCCCTCCTTCTCCCCCGTCCCCTCCCCCTTCCTCCCCGCGTCCGCCTCCCCCTCCTTGCCCTTGCCCTTGCCCTCAACCAATCCCGCCTTGATGTCATCCGCCAGGCGCAGGCGCTGGGGGGAGGGGGGACGGGGGGCGGGAGAGGGAGGAGGGTGTGGGGGAAAGGGAAAGAGGAGTGTGATTAGAACCGCCAAGCAGACATCTCAAGCACCCCAGCATGGGGGAGCGGGGTGTCACAACAAGCGCCTCCCTTTCCTTCCCCTTGCCCTTCCCCTTGCTTTTCCCCTCCACCAGCCCCGCCTTGATGTCATCCGCCAGGCGCAGGCGCTGGGGGGAGGGGGGAAGAGGGAAGGGCGGGGGGAGGGGGGAAGAGGGGGAAAAAGAGAAAGGAGGGAAGAGAGGGAAGGATGGAATGAGGGTGGCGGAGGGGATGGACGATGCAAGGAAGAGACGAGGTGTCACTGGGAGGTGTTCAGATGGAGAGTGGAAAGAAGACAACAGGAATAGAATGCTCCATGTATACGATCACCCGATTCAGGTTAAACAAACACCTTGTGCTGAGCCGTTTGCAACTTAGAATCCTCATCAGAGAGACACACGGCAGCTCGAACCAAAAGCCTAATCATGTACGATTCAACGGCGAGACAAGACCCCCCAGGCAACAGCATGTTGTTGAGTGGCAACAACATGGCATCGGCAACAAACAACGTGACGCTTTTTGAGTCGAATTAAAAATCGCCTCAACAATGTGACAGCGAAATTTGTTTAATTTCTAGAAAGATATCGGCGCAGCCCGCAGCACTCACTTTCCTGGGCCCATCCAGCTTGGCTCTGAGCTCAGGCGTGCAGAAGTCATATACGTCCAACACGAGGGGGTAGGTCACCCTCTGCAGCAAACACAGAAGGGAGGGGGGCAGGGAGGAGGGACAGAGAGGAAGAGAGGGGGGAGAGCAGGAATGGGGCCCCGTCCAGCTTCGCTCTGAGCTCAGGGGTATGTTACCCTCTGCAGCACAAGGGAGGAAGGGGGGCCATGAAGAGAGAAACGGGAAAAAAGGGGGCAAGAGAGGAGGGGCAGAGACGGTGGCAAGGGGCAAAGAGGGGGAGCAGAGAGGGGGGCGCGTGCAGCTTGGCTCTGAGCTCGGGTGTGCAAAATTCACAGACGGTCCGATACGAGGAAGTATGTTAGCCTCTGTTCCGAGGTCAGAAGGAGAGAGGGGCGGTGGAGATATGGGACAAGGGGAAGTGCGGGGACACATGCAGGTGCGGCAGGTTCTGAGATTTGGCATGCAAAAGTCATAGAAATCCGATACGAGGGGGTGCGTTGCCCCTCTGTTCCGAAGGAGTGGGAAGGGAAGGAGAAGAGGGAGAATGAGGTCGGGCATGCAAGTCACACATGTACAGCACATGGGGCAAGGCATGGTACAGCACATGGGGCAAGGCATGGTACAGCACATGGGGCAAGGCATGGTACAGCACATGGGGCAAGGCATGGTACAGCACATGGGGCAAGGCATGGTACAGCACATGGGGCAAGGCATGGTACAGCACATGGGGCAAGGCATGGTACAGCACATGGGGCAAGGCATGGTACAGCACATGGGGCAAGGCATACATGGGGGGCAAGGCACGTTAAGGTCTGGCATGGTGGGGCATGGTAAGGCACAGCAAATGCACGGTATGGCACGGTAAGGTGCAGCAAAGGCAGGGCAAGGCAGGGCAAGGCAAGGCAGGGCAGAGTGGCAGAGTGGCAGAGTGGCAGAGTGGCAGAGTGGCAGAGTGGCAGAGTGGCAGAGTGGCAGAGTGGTACTGACTCGGAGGATCTTGGCCTTCTGCTGTGACTCGCGCTTCCAGAAGAAACGCACGAACTGCACCGTGAGGTAGCTGGGGGGGGAGGTGCAGAGGGGAGGGAGGGAAGGGGATAGAGAGGGGGGAAGAAATGCTTGTTGGAATGCGTGGCACGCACATACACTCGCGCTTCAAGAAGAAACGGACAAAATGCACCGTGAGGTAGCTGGTGGGCAGTGCCGTGGGAAGGTAGGGGGGAGGGAGGGAAGGGGGGAGGGGAGAGAGGGAGGGGGATAGGGGAAGAGAGGGAGGGAGGGAGGGAGGGAGGGAGGGAGGGAGGGAGGGAGGGAGGGAGGGAGGGAGGGAGGGAGGGAGGGAGGGAGGGAGGGAGGGAGGGAGGAAGGGAGAGAGAGGGAGGGAGGGAGGGAGGGAGGGAGGGAGGGAGGGAGGGAGGGAGGGAGGGAGGGAGGGAGGGAGGGAGGGACGGACGGACGGACGGACGGACGGAGGGAGGGAGGGAGGGAGGGAGGGAGGGAGGGACGGACGGACGGAGGGAGGGAGGGAGGGGGAAGGAAGAACTTGTTTGAATGCGTGGCATGCGGCATACACTAGCTTCCAGAAAGAAACACACAAACTGCACCGTGAGGTAGCTGGGAGGGGGAGGGGGGGGCGGAGCGCCAGAGGGGAGGATGAGGGAGACCTAGAGAGGGGAAGAATGACTTGTTTGAATGCGTGACATGCACATACACTTGTGCTTCCAGAATGGGGCACGAGGAGAGTTTGACAAACAGGGAGGGATGAGAAGGCAAGGCAACATTGGCACGCTGTGCAGGCAGAAGACGAGGAGCGCCAAGCACACACAGCATAGCGAGCATAAAGTGACTGATGCTGGAAGAGAAGGCAGACGAGGAATTTACGGCAGTCGGGGACGGGGACGGGTCGAAGGAATGAGCATGGAATCTAAACACACCCGAGCAGCCATCATCTCAAGCACACACTCACCGAGGGAGGCGGGCACCAAGCGACTTTTGTTTTAGGCGTCTCAAAATTCACTCACTGGGGAAGGCGGGCGATGAGAGACTCCTTTGTGAAGACAGCGGAGCGGCCAAGCGATGCCGATGCCTTCTCCAGCTCCGTCCTTAAGCCCTGGTGTGTGGGGGGTTGCAAGGAGGTGGGAGAGATATTGTGAGCACAAGGGAGTGATTAGTCAACTACGCACTCTCTACTTCGATGCCTTCTCCAGCTCCGTCCTTAGGCCCTGGCGGGAGGGTTGGGGGGAGGGGTGCAAGGAGATGGGTGAGAGATTATGAGCACAATAGAAAAGCATACTAAGCAAGGCAAACGTGGATGCCATTTCCAGGTCGGTTCTCAGACCCTGGCGGGAGGGGAGGGGGTTGCGAGATCAGGAGCACAGGAGAGGAGATTGTATGAATAGGCAACGCAGATCTCCGTGGGACACAGGGGAGGTGAATGCAGGGACGTGGACGCAGGGGAGGTGGATGCAGGGAGGTGGATGCAGGGAGGTGGATGCAGGGAGGTGGATGCAGGGAGGTGGATGCAGGGAGGTGGATGCAGGGAGGTGGATGCAGGGAGGTGGATGCAGGGAGGTGGATGCAGGGAGGTGGATGCAGGGAGGTGGATGCAGGGAGGTGGATGCAGGGAGGTGGATGCAGGGAGGTGGATGCAGGGAGGTGGATGCAGGGAGGTGGATGCAGGGAGGTGGATGCAGGGAGGTGGATGCAGGGAGGTGGATGCAGGGGAGGTGGATGCGGGGAGGTGGATGCAGGGAGGTGGATGCAGGGAGGTGGATGCAGGGAGGTGGATGCAGGGAGGTGGATGCAGGGAGGTGGATGCAGGGAGGTGGATGCAGGGAGGTGGATGCAGGGAGGTGGATGCAGGGAGGTGGATGCAGGGAGGTGGATGCAGGGAGGTGGATGCAGGGAGGTGGATGCAGGGAGGTGGATGCAGGGAGGTGGATGCAGGGAGGTGGATGCAGGGAGGTGGATGCAGGGAGGTGGATGCAGGGGAGGTGGATGCAGGGGAGGTGGATGCAGGGGAGGTGGATGCAGGGGAGGTGGATGCAGGGAGGTGGATGCAGGGAGGTGGATGCTCCTCGCTCTCCTCCCTCTCCTCGCTCTCCATGCGCTTTCACCCACCCTCTTTATTCCTTCATGCAGCGGGTTGATGTCGCTGCTGATGTGGTGCAGTGCAGAGGAGGTGGAGTGAATGGAAGGAGTGGGAGGAGTGGGAGGAGTGGGAGGAGTGGGAGGAGTGGGAGGAGTGGGAGGAGTGGGAGGAGTGGGAGGAGTGAGAGGAGTGGGGGGAGTGGGAGGAGTGGGGGGAGTGGGAGGAGTGGGGGGAGTGGGAGGAGTGGGGGGAGTGGGAGGAGTGGGGGGAGTGGGAGGAGTGGGGGGAGTGGGAGGAGTGGGGGGAGTGGGAGGAGTGGGGGGAGTGGGAGGAGTGGGGGGAGTGGGAGGAGTGGGGGGAGTGGGAGGGTAGCTCACACACACCCTTGACGCCTGCGTGCCGCAGGTTAACGTTTCTACGTAATGTGGCACTTGAGCACGAACAGTGTCTCTTTCTCCTTGCTCCTCGCTCTTTGTGAAGGAAAGGTGAAGTGAAGGGGAAGGGCACTCACCCTCTTGATGCCTTCATGCAGCAGGATGGGCGAAGAAGGGGGGGAGCGCGAGGGTAACCCTCCCTCTTGATGCCTTAACTCACCCTCTTGATGCCTTAACTCACCCTCTTGATGTCTTAACTCACCCTCTTGATGCCTTAACTCACCCTCTTGATGCCTTAACTCACCCTCTTGATGCCTTAACTCACCCTCTTGATGCCTTAACTCACCCTCTTGATGCCTTAACTCACCCTCTTGATGCCTTAACTCACCCTCTTGATGCCTTAACTCACCCTCTTGATGCCTTCATGCAACAAGTTAACGTCGCTGCTGATGTGGCATTTGAGCATGAACGCCGTTTCCTTCTCCTCGCTCTCCTCCCCATTGCCCTCCGCGGCCTCCCCTCCCTCCGCACACCGAACCCTGTGTGCCACACAGGACGAGGCCGTGAGCACGAGGCAGCATGGAGCAGAGGAAGTGAGGGTGAGCACGTGGCATGCCATGCAGGGAGTGGTGAGCACGTGGAGAGGGAGGGACATGGATGAGCACATGAGAGCATGATGTGACCCTCACCAGCAGCACAGGGAGTGGTAAGCACGAGGCAGCATACACAGACAGAGACGCAAGGACGGTTGGCATACGAGGAGCAAGCATGAGTATGCAGTGACCCTCACCAACAGCCGAACAGCACACACCACAGCTTCGGCAGGAGGTAAGGCATGGATCATGTATGAGATGGAATGAGGCACGAGAACTCACTTGCTGACTAGTTCAATCCCGAATATGTTGTCCACCTCAGCTTGCGAGCTGACGTGGCAGGGAGAGGATAACGCAGAGGCAACGCACAGTCAGGGTGAGTAATGAAAGCACACGGAAGGGATATGGCGGCGAGGGCAAGGAGGGGAGGGGATGATTAAGAAATATATATTTACATATATAGATATAAAAAGGGATGGAGGAACAGTGAAATTTGGCATGAGCAATGGTGAATGCGTGAAAGAGCGACTTTCTCCCATGAACCAAGCCATAGGGCCGTGTGGCAGGAGCACCAGGCCTGTGATGAGCAGAGACGGCAACCATGCAGAGTGGGGTGCAAATGGCAGAGGGGGGGGAGAGAGCAGAGAGCGGTGGAAGGCAGCAGCACGCACGGCTGCCTGACGCTGCGGAGGCGCTGGGAGAGCGAGAAGAGTAGCTGCGTCCAACACTCCTCCGCATCCTGTGAGAGATGATTGGAGGGAAGGAGGGGGAGTAACGGAGGAGAAAGGGATACGATTTCTGAGTCAGATCACAAAGAGGTGCTGGGCGCATGTGATGCCGGTGCATGTGATGCCGGCGCATGTGATGCCGGTGCATGTGATGCCGGTGCATGTGATGCCGGTGCATGTGATGCCGGTGCATGTGATGCCAATGCATGCGTTTGCCATGCTCCCATGTTACCTCACCTGCTGCATGTACGCGCCATGCTCCCCCTGCTGGGCGAACTGCGGGAATCTCTGCCGCAGCAGCTGCATGCCACAGGGGGGGGAGACAGGGTGTGGTGACGAAGGACAGGGAGAGGCCATAGTAAGGATAGACATCTTCAAATGCGACACAGGTTATTGTTCCTCTTCCTCACTCGTCTCCCCATCCCCCTCTCCTCGTCCTCACGTTTCTCATGGTGCTCCCTCCTTCCATTCCTCCCTCCCTCTTTCCCTCCCTCGCTGTCTGCAGCATGCTACCCTCCCCCTCTTCTGCCGCACCCTCACTTGCCCATGCAAGCCATGCCGGTTGAATCGCATTTGAGAAACGTGAGGACGAGGAGAGGGGGATGGGGAGACGAGTGAGGAAGAGGAACAATCACCATAAGGAAGATGGGGGGAGGAGGGAAGGAGAGTGGGGGAAGATGGGGAGGCGAAGGGGATGGGATGAGGAAGGGAAGAGAAGCATTCACCATAAGGAAGCGAAGTGGAGTGACCGGGCGGCGTGACTTCTCCAGCTCCCCAAAGAGGTCCCTCGCTGCCAGCGCCAGGCGGTGAGAGCTGTCCGCCTCTATGCCACTTGATGGGGCGTACCTGCGGTGGAGTGCGGTGGGGTGGGATGGGATGGGATGGGATGGGATGCATCAAGGGAGGGCATAAAGGGAGAGAGATGAGGGGAGGTGGATGGAAGCAGCTGCTAGGGGAAACCCATGAAAATGAGGGGAAACCATGTGGCTGATAAGTGGGGGGCGGTGAGGGGGGACATGAAAGTAGAGAAATTATTAGGTGCGGATGGGATGTGGGGCATGGGGCATGGGGCATGGAATGGGGTACTGGGCACGGAGCATGGGGCATGGGGTACCGGCGTAAAGTATGGCGCATGGGGCATGGCGCATGGGGCATGGGGCGATGGGGTATGGTGCAATGGGGCATGGCGCATGAGGAAAATTGGCAGGCAGGCACTGAGCGCGGAGCGCAGGGGCGGCACGGAGTGGGTGGCAGGAAGGGAGGTACAAGGTGGGGATGGAAGGGAGGTACAAGGTGGGGATGGATGGGAGGTACAAGGTGGGGATGGATGGGAGGTACAAGGTGGGGATGGATGGGAGGTACAAGGTGGGGATGGAAGGGAGGTACAAGGTGGGGATGGATGGGAGGTACAAGGTGGGGATGGATGGGAGGTACAAGGTGGGGATGGAAGGGAGGTACAAGGTGGGGATGGATGGGAGGTACAAGGTGGGGATGGAAGGGGCCACTCACTGCGTGAGCGCGGAGCGCAGGGGCGGCACGGAGTGGAGGCACTGCAGCGTGGCGTTCATGTAGCACGTGTTGCCCAGATTCTCCAACCCTGCTGACCACTCCTTCTGTTGGGGTCACACGCGAGGTTACAGGGTAACACACACGCGGTAGGAAGGGAGATGCATGGTTTTGTCATGTAGTGAATGTATGGCGTTCATGTAGCACGTGTTGCCTATGTGCTCCAGCCCTGCTGACCACTCTTTCTGTTCGGGTGACACAGGTGGGTGGCAGGGTGACACACATGCGGCAGGGTGACACACAAGCGGCAGGGTGACACACATGCGGCAGGGTGACACACAAGCGGCAGGGTGACACACATGCGGCAGGGTGACACACATGCGGCAGGGTGACACACAAGCGGCAGGGTGACACACATGCGGCAGGGTGACACACATGCGGCAGGGTGACACACATGCGGCAGGGTGACACACATGCGGCAGGTGATAGAATTGGAACTTAACTGATTGATTGATAACGAAGGCACGAGCCCTTAAGTACAAACACGGTTGGGTTGAGCAAAGCTAGGGAAAGGATGGGATGGGAATCCTAGCAAATCTCCAATTGGTGAGTTGGCAGATTTGCATGATTACGAGGGAATCCCAACCAGATAGGGTTGGGATTACAAATCTACACCCAACCTACAAAGTAACCTAACCGATATAGAATATAGTACAAAGTGTTGACTGACTATTTCTAACACACCCCCTAGGCTGACAACACTTCAGCCACATGGCGGTCCAACACCCATGGACGAGAGGAGGCGGTAGTGGTCTTGACGAACAAGAGACTTGGTAAACAAGTCAGCAAGGTTGCAGTCGGAGGCAATGTGTTCTGCCTTCAACTGCTCGCGCTGCACCAGTTCACGAAGAAAGTAGTGACGGACTTCAATGTGCTTGGTGCGGCCGTGGAAGACGGGGTCCTTGGTGAGATGAATGGTGCTCTCGTTGTCACACCAAAGCGTTGGGGCTGGTTGAGGATACCCAAGTTCTGCCAGCAAGAAGGAGAGCCAACGGGCCTCCTGGGCAGCCATGGTCCCTGCATACAGCTCTGCCTCACAGGTCGACAGTGAGACGGAAGACGACCGAGTGGAGCGCCAACTGACAACCCCGCTGCCAAGGGTAAAGCAATACCCTTGGGAAGAGCGCCGATCACTCTGGTCATCAGCATAGGACGAGTCACTGTACCCCTCAAGGCGAACAAGGGAAGAGCCGCCAAGAGTGAGCACATAGTCCTGTGTGCCTTTGAGATAGCGGAGGACCCGCTTGGCGGCAGACCAGTGGTGGCTCGTGAAGCGACCAGGTGCAACGTAGCGAGACAGGACACTGACTGGATAGGCCAAGTCTGGTCGAGTGCACATCATCGCGTACATGAGGGAACCAACGAGCTCGGGGTAAGCCTCATCGCAGGGCTCAGGTGAGGGAACAGAGGGTGCAGTGAGTTGGTGCTGCAGAGAGAGTGGGGTGGGCATTGAAGCTGCTTCCTGCATCTTGAACCTTGTCAGAACGTTGTTGATGTAGAACTTCTGCGAGAGGGTGATGGTGCGGGCCGTGCGATCACGTGTGATTTCCATGCCCAGATAGTTCGTCAGCTTCCCAAGATCCTTCATGGCCAGCTTCTCACCAAGTGCGGCTTTGACTGCTGCCAGCTCAGTCTGATCCTTGGTGACAAGGATCATGTCATCGACATAAACCAAGATGAAGAAGCGGGATGGTGTTGCTCGAATGAAGAGGCTGGGGTCAGAGGTGGATGGGTGAAAGTCGAGGGACCCTAAGGTGCTCTTGAGCTTGTTGTGCCATTCCCGGGGTGATTGCTTGAGGCCATATACTGGTCGATTCAGCTTCCATACAGTGCCTGGTGGAAAAGGAGCTGGAAATCCTTCGGGCCGCTCCATGTAGATTTCCTCTCGAAGGATCCCTTGCAGAAACGCAGAAGACACATCCATGCAGTCAACCTCCATGTCATCTCGAGCGGCCACATCGAGAAGGGTGCGCAGTGTGGGAGGTTTGGCAGTGGGAGAGAATGTCTCAAAGAAGTCCAGTCCACGCTTTTGGGTAAATCCCTTGGCACAGTACCGGGCATTGAAGACAGGAAATTCGCCTGGAAGTTGTTTCACCCGAAAAACCCATTTTCCCTTCACAGTGTTGACGCCGGAGGGAGGAATGATATCTGTGAAAGTCCCTGTGTGAATGAAGGCCTCACACTCTGCGATAATGGCCCCTATCCACTGAGCGGAGTTAGGACCAGAAACTGCTTCAGCATAGGTGAGAGGTGTGGGGATGGAGGGGTTGTCTGAGAAGTTGAGGGTGGGAGATTCTGCGATATCTGGAAAGAGAGAGCAGAGCGCGTGTATGGCTGAGTCAATGTCAATCAACTCCTCATGTCTGTCCTCAAGAAGGGAGGGCATGAGCGAATAATCACCCCCGACAGGAGGAGGATTGAGAGAGACACGAATGGAAAGGGAAAGATGCTTGGGAGCTTTGTGCGAGCGGGTGCGACCAGCGATGGGGGAGGGAGGCGGAGCTGGAGGAGGAGAAGCAGGAGGTGTAGTGGCAGCATCAGGAGCAGCAGCTGAGTCGGGAGCAGGAGCCAGATCAGGAGTAGGAGGTGGAGCAGGAGCAGGAGCAGCAGCAGGAGGACGGCGTTGGTAGGTTTTGAGAGGAATGGACTCGGGGGCGGGAAGGAGCGGGGGAGACTGCGTGGTGCTGGATGGGGAAGCGGGTGACGGGGGGTCGGAAACTGTGGAGGGAGCGGGAAGAGGAGGAGATGGAGTGGTGGCAGGAGGAAGGATGTCAAAGTCAGCCCATGTTAGAGAAAGAGGAGGAGGAGAAGGAGAAACTGTGGAGGAGGGGTAGAATGGGTGGGATTCATCGAAGAAAACATCTCGGCTGCGATAGAGTTTGTTGGTGGTAGGATGGAGGAAGAGGTAGTCTGGTGAGTCCAAGTTGTGCCCGAGGTACACGCACGTGATTGTTTTCGGAGCAAGCTTGCCGCCAGCTGCACGACGGGCTTGGGAGTTGAGGAGGACATAGGAAGTGCACCCCCATACACGGAGAGGGCGGACGGACGGCTTTTGACCCGTCCACAGCTCTGCGGGGGTGGTGTGGGTGTGGTGAGGATGAGGATGGAGATTGTGGAGGGCGGCAGCATGGAGCATGGCGTATCCCCAAAGAGAGGGAGGGGCGGAAGCATGAGTGAGGAGGCAGCGAGCAATCTGCACCAGGATGCGGTTTCGGCTTTCAGCAACACCGTTCTGTTGAGGGCTGTCTGGGAGAGTGAAGGTCTGTTGGATACCCTCAGTAGAGCAGAAAGCTTTGAGAGTGTTGTTGCGGAATTCACCGCCACCGTCAGAGTGAAGAAACTTGATTTTGGTTTTGAAGTGTGAATGAGCCTGCCTGGCCCATTCCATGATGATGGCTGGGGCTTCAGACTTGGCGGTGAGAAGGTGAATGGACACATAGCGGGAATAGTCATCAACGATGACTAGGAAGTAGAAGTGTCCGCCACGGGAACGAACAGGAGCTGGACCCCAAAGGTCCATGTGTACGCGATCGAGAGGTGCGGTAGAGATGGACTCAGTGGGAGGATGGGGCTGTTCCCGAAGCTTGCTCTGTGCACAGTCAAGGCAAGGCGGTCCAGAAAGAGAGGGGGGTTGTGGAAGTGTGGCGGGCAGTCCATGTAGGAGTTGCTTGGTGGCAAGGTCGGAAAGTGCGCGGAAGTTGATGTGGCCGAGGCGGTTATGAAATAGCATAGTCTTGTCAGTGAGGAGGCGGCAGTGACATGAGGGGGAGTCTGAGGATGGAAGCGGAAGGTTGGTGAGGGAGCATGTTTGAACGGGAGGTACAACTAGTGTGTACAGGTTGTTGGAGTTGAGGGTGAAGCGGGCAAGATGGAGTCCGGTTTTGGCGTCAAACATGTCACAGTAGTCAACATCATTGGGAAAGATGGTGATCACGCCTGCGTGTTGGATTTCCCGCTGTGCAAGAAGGTTGTAGCGGAGGGTTGGGGCACAGATGCCAGTGACGGTGCCAGATGGGAATGCTGGACAGGAAACTGTGGAGGAGCCATGGCATTGGATGGAGAAGCTAGAATCTGCTCCAAGGAGTGAGGTGGGAGCCTGATAGGGAACGAAGGCGGTTTGGTCTTTAAGCACTGTGTGGGTGGCACCACTGTCTAGTATGAACTCGATTCCCTGTGTGGTTGAAACACCGATGTACTGCGACCCCTTCTCATTAATAAGACCAGCACCAGAGAACAACAGGTTAAGGCGAACATCAGATGGGGCGCTAGCAAATGCCTGAGCAGGTTCCTCCACTGCCTCGACCTGGTTCACGCGACGGGGTGGTGCCCAGTTGGGAGGGCGCTTGTCCTTGGAGACACCATGGACGTCATACCACTCGTCATCTCGCTTCTTGAAGCAAGTGGCCTCAGGGTGGTTGGTGCCATTGCATTTCTGCCCCGCACGTGGACCCTTCCTAATGAGGTACTGGCATGGGGGAAAGGAGTTGCGCCTCTGGCCCTGCTGGGAACGGAATGGAATGCCAGGGGAGTAGCGCACAGCATTGACTGATGCCTGAGCTGCAAGGTCCTTTTCCGCAGAGAGAAGGGCCGAAGCGACTTTCTCGAAGGTGAGTTCCTTGGTGGGGAGCTGCTTGAGCATGGAACTGGTGACGTTGTAGGCCGGGGTGAGTCCGACGAGAAGCCCAGCAGCAGGTGCCTGTTCGGGGAAGGTGATCCCAATGTCCTTGAGCTCCTCATGGATGTTGCGGATTTCAGAGATGTAATCTGCCATGCCCGGGCATTCCTCAAGGCGGATTTGGAACATGCGAGGAATGAGGATTGCAACTCCCACGGCAGTTTTGTCATGAAAACGATCCTGGAGGTACTTCCAAATGTCATGCGCAGAGCGGAAGGTGCGGTAGGACTTGACTAACTCAACTGGGGTGGTGGTGATGAAAACCCTAATCACTGCCGCATCCGCCTGCTCCCAGAGACTGAAGTCCGTCTCATACTTGGTGGTCTTAGCATCGAAAGCGCTCTTGGCTGTGGGAGTGGCGCCTTCACCGAGAGGATCGGGAGGGAGAGGCATCTTCCCCTTACCGCGGTTGAGGAGGATGTCCTTGAGGCAAACCCCCTTGAGCTCCGAGCTAAGGAGGTGCTTCTCCACTCCATAGCACCACTCCCCGAAATTGGTGCTCGTGCCGTTGGGAGCGAGGTTAAGGATGATGAGGTTTCCGACGAGAGTGGAAGTAGAAGTTGCCATTTCGCGCGGAGTGCAGCGCTAAAGTCTCCGATACGTAGCGGAGCGAGTCCGAAACTTGATTTTAGAACTTGAGGAAGTTCGAAACGCGATTTCGGCAATAGAATGCCCGTAAAATACCCTGTTATACTGCTTCGCCGATGCCCCCTGTTCTGCTTCGCTGCTGCCCCTGTTCCGCTTCTCTGCTGCGCCGCTGACCTGTTCTGCTGCGCCGCTGACCTGTTCTGCTGCGCCGCTGACCTGTTCTGCTGCGCCGCTGACCTGTTCTGCTGCGCCGCTGACCTGTTCTGCTGCGCCGCTGAACCTGTTCTGCTGCGCCGCTGAACCTGTTCCGCTGCGCCGCTGAAAACCTGTTCCGCTGCGCCGCTGGACCTGTTCCGCTGCGCCGCTGAAAACCTGTTCCGCTGCGCCGCTGGACCTGTTCCGCTGCGCCGCTGAAAACCTGTTCCGCTGCGCCGCTGGACCTGTTCCGCTGCGCCGCTGAAAACCTGTTCGAAGTTAAGAAGATGCGAAAATTTCGACGGAGATTTGAAAAACCAGAGGCTTACGATGAAGGAAGTCGAAAGCTGAAAATGTCGCCGTTGAAAAACGAGAAGCGCGATGAAGGAAGCCGAATGCGTGCTTGACCGGAGCGACGATGTGAAGTTTCTGAAATACGCTAAGCGTAGGAGCCGGGAGCCGAAATAGGCATAGCCTAGAAGGAGAGAACCATCGGGACGCCAAGGATCGGATTCCGCGTGAGCGAAATTTACTAGCTCGATACCATGATAGATTGATAAGGAAGGCACGATTGATAAGGAAGGCACGAGGCCTTAAGTACAAACACGGTTGGGTTGAGCAAAGCTAGGGAAAGGATGGGATAGGAATCCTAGCAAATCTCCAATTGGTGAGTTGGCAGATTTGCAGGATTACGAGGGAATCCCAACCAGATAGGGTTGGGATTACAAATCTACACCCAACCTACAAAGTAACCTAACCGATATAGAATATAGTACAAAGTGTTGACTGACTATTTCTAACAGCAGGGACGGAGATGCAGCATGTGGATGCATGGTAGTGCCATGTGGTATACGTGTGGCGTTCACAAAGCACGTGTTGCCCAGGTTCTCCTGCCCTGCTGCCCATTCCTTCTGTTCAGGGCACGGCAGGGAGGGCGACACACATGCGACAGGGAAGGTGTTGAAACACATGTACATGTATGTAGCACATGCAGTATCATGCCGGCATGCATGGTATGGTACCATGTAGCACGTGTTGCCCTCGTTCTCCAGCTCAGCTGACCACTCCTACTGGTGCACACAGGGTGACACGTGGCAGGGTGGCACACACGTGGACGGGGAACCCCCCTGCTCCTCCTCCGGCAGATCTTCCTCGAACACCACCGCCTGGGCGGGCGCCACTCACCCCTTTAGAGCCCCCACACTGTCAATCAACCCCTTCTCTGCTCACCTGCGCAGCCGCCTCCTGCTCCTCCAGCGGTCCATGTATTAGCAACCAGAAAGTACAGACAAGCAAGCAAGCAAGCACCGGGAGATATAGCACGTGGGACATACATCTCAGTTACTAACCAGCCCCTTCTCCCACCCACTCCCTCGCTCCGTCGAAGGGAGCTGTAGCGCCGGCTGCAGGATTGCAAAGCAGTCCCCAAGGGACAAGCCCTCACCCGGCATTCCCACAGGTGGGCTTTCCACCTCTGCCGCCAAGTTGCACTTCGTCTGGAAGCTCACCGACTGAGCACGCTGCAACGCTATGGACCACCGCTGGCGGAACTAATGCAGCAGTTTCGTGGCCTGGTAAGAGGAGGGGGCAGCGTTGAAGAGCCTGCGGGCAGCGGTTTCAGCTAGCAGCTTGAGGAATTTGGGGACCTCCGCGCATGGGCAACCATAGGTCTCGACGGCTAGGGGGAAAAACCCGACCCATGAGGCTGTGGAGCCCTCGTAGTCGGAGATCTTCTTGTCTGCAGCTTCGCGGGGCGCCCAGCCCCGTCCCTTGATTGCATTGGGGTGACGGGTGCTAATGGGGTCCGTGATTGTCACGTCCCCAATCCACAGAGCACCTGAGGAGCGGTCACGAATGGCGATGTCGGCTTTCTTCCTGGTGACAGGGCAGAACGCCGTGGTTTCACTGTGTGTCATGAAGCCCGCGTCTGTCGCCATGCGTACGCATGCGTCGCGCAATTCGTTGTGCGTGTTGGTCCGTCCCCCCCCCCCCGTGTCGCAGCGGAGCAGGTGGTTGGGCAACCTTGTGTCGGTGATTGCCACTTCCTTGCGGCAGTCACATGCGCCTGGGGCAGAGGAGGGTAGTCCCATACGAAGGTGCAGCGCGTTGGCGAAGTGGGCTGGGGCAAGGAGCAGCGATGAGTTGAAAGGGAGCGCGTGCAGCCAGTCCCCTGCCCCGTACCCCGACAGTGAAAGCATGCGTTGGGTGTGTCCACTGAGTGGGTTGAGTTGCATCGTGCGCGTGTCCTGGACTTGCTCAGCGTAGCGCAGCCCGTGGACTGATATTGCGAGCCCATGCTGCAGGTTGATGCCTTTTGGGGCAACCCTTTCGCTCTGCAGCAGCTCCTTTCCGTCGTCAGGAAGTGCCTCCTCGCACCTCTCCAACCAGTCGAAGAGAGGCGCAGTGTTTTGGAAAGGTCCAGCCATCTGGATCCGTGTTTCCGCCAGAGCGCCAACTGCTGCTTCGTCGATGGAGGTGAGTAGGTGTCATGCCTGTGTGTAGCTTGCGAGGAACCCAACGCGTCCCTCCACCGAGGGGTGTGCTAGGCCCAGTCCTCGGAGCGAGATGGGGAGTGAAGCTTGTGCCCGGGTACGTGTAGTCTCACCTTCACCCCGAGGATGCCGTATCCCGCAGGCCGTTAACAAGGTTTCAAACAACCGCTTGCCCCAGTCTGACCATTCTTCTACTGGCAGGGCTGACAGTGGCGTTGTGCGTGCCACGTAGCAGACGCGTCGCGAAATGCAACGGCTGAGCAGGAGGGAGGCCAGCTGCGGGTCCATTTGCGATATCAGGCGCAGTGGGCTTCCCATTGCGTCGAGGCTGTCGCGAAGGAAGGATGCGGTAGCGTCGTTGCCGCCGATGAAACTGCCCAGCACCTTCACACCGCCGTCAGTGAATGGCACACCGTGGGGCATTGCTGCTGTCTGTCTCCCTGCCTGTGACCAAGCCGCGCATTTGGAAGGGTTGTGGCGTAACCCAATCCCTGCAAGGTTGCCCGTGAAGTCGTTGAATGCTGCCGTACATTCCGACGCCTCTCCCAAGAAGGTTACATCGTCCGCGTATGCCAGGCATACCACGGACGGGTGGGCCTGCGCCGTACGAGTGAGCGCGGGATGTATGGCGGCAGCAAACAGCAGGGGGCCGAGGGGATCTGCTTGCCTCCCCCCGCTTTCGCTCAAGAGAGGTGGGTGGGAAAAACCAGCGTCCAGGCATAGGGCTCAAGGTTGGCCGTAGGAGAACTTCACCAGGGGGAGTAGCGAGGCTAGCGGGGACCCGCGAAGTGACGCGACTATGGCGGGTGATGTGAATGATTGCTTCTGCGCCTCCCGGAACCGCCACGCCGCCGTCAGGGTGAGGCGCGTGAGGCTTTCGCCAATCGCAATCGGCCGCATCCCTCCATCCGGTTTGGTGAGTGCTTTGAGGCGTGAAGCGGTAAGCAGGTCGGCCACTGCTGGTGTTAGTTTCCCCGTGAGGATTGTGTTGACCAGTGCGTGCAAGTGCTTTCCCACAGAGGCGTTGATCAGCACCGAATCTCGTAAGTGTTCAAACGTTGTTCCAGAAGGGCCAGCCCCTACTGCCATCTCACAGCGCCCCAACACCTTGGAGAAGATCTCGTACGGTGCAGCCAGGTGGGGGTCAGGTGTGGGGAATGTCCAGTCAGGTTGGGAGGCTGGCGCAGGCGGGTGCTTGGAGCGCAGTGCCTCCAGCACGGTTGGAGATGGGGTGCCTCCTGCTCCTCCTCAGGCAGGTCTTCCGCGAAACACCACCGCGCGATACATGCCCTTTCTAGAGCCCCAACACTGTCAACCCTCTTTGTGATCACCTGCAATGCAACTCGCCTCTCTTACCAATCCTTCCCCTCAGCGCACCTGTGCAGCGGCCTCCTGCTCCTCCTCCGGCAGGTCCTCCACAAACACCACCGCCTGGGCGGGCGCCACTGGAGCAGCGTCTGCCGTGCCCATCATCATCAGGCGCTGGCCCTGCACGGTGATACAGGGTGAGGCAGTTGGCGTATGTGGGGAAGGTGGCATGTGGGGAAGGTGGCATGTGGGGAAGGTGGCATGTGGGGAAGGTGGTATGTGGGGGGGTTGGTATTTGGGTCACAGGGTTGTCTCTGCAGTGCCCATCATCATCAGGCGCTGACCCTGCACGGCAAAGTGGAGCAGGTGGGAAATGGGGAGGGTGGCATGTGATGTGGGGAATGTACGTGTGGGGTATCTGAGGGGGATATGCGCCTCTGTAGCTGCGTCCGCTGTGCCCATCATGATGATGTGAGGGGGATTGCATCACTCTCGCGAGCTGCATCACCAACACCCTGACCCACTATGCGCCCCTGCTCCGCATTGCATTCCCACCTTCTCTCTTCATTCATCATACCTTAATTCCTCTGTCTACAATGTCGTATCTTAAACCGTCTCTACAAAAACACATTTTCACGGCATCACATTTTCAACCCTCTCTCAACAAAAACACATCACAGACACCTCCTCTCTCATTCAACTCGAATCTTACGCCATCTCTCAATAGCACAACTTAAACCCTCTCTCAAAAAACTCGCACCTTAACTTCTCTCGATCCAGTCACATGATCAGATTGCAAACCCTCTTCCAAAAAAATCACATCCTAGCCCTAGCAGTCTCCCAAATGCGCGACAAAGACACTCACTTCTTTGATGCCCAGCTTGGACCAATCAGCATCGTCCTGCAGTCCCACACAGCAGCAGGCGGTGGGAGGGCACATCAGAGGCAGCACAAGCCAGGGAGCCAAGGCAGTTGGAACACAACACACACACAGGTTTAGTCAGTCGTGTGATGTGAACTCCCAAAAGTAAGGGATTTTCTAGGTCTCACATGCAAACATCCGCATTTCCGCCCTGAATGATAACGTACCTGAATGTTATCATACCTGAATGAGACTATACCTGAGTAACATCACACCTGAATATTATCTTACCTGAGTAATATACCTCATCTAAATCGTACCTGAATAACAATATACCTGAATACTATCGTACCCATGCCACTTTTGCACCGGATACTACCCACCAGATAACACCCGCAAGGGCCCTCCATCGCACCTGCAGCAGGCCGCCCTTGACCATGATCTTCTGCCTGTCGGGCGGCACCCCAGTGAGCGCATAGAGCTGCCCCTTGAAGAGCAGCGGCGGCTGCTGTGTGTCGACCTCCACCCCTGCAAACACCTCCTTCTGCCACTTCACGCTCACTGGCGGGGCCGGGAAAGGGAGAGGGGTTGGAGGGGTTGGAGGGGTTGGAGGGGTTGGAGGGGAGTCAACTCAGAAGTCACCACGGGTCGCACCTCCTTCTACCACTTCATGGGGGGAAGGGTTTGGGGGAGAGGGGTTTGAGGACGGGTTGAGAGAAGAGGCTTTTGAGAGGTTCAAACGGGCGCCAGCCAGGACGGGCGGCTCTGGTGAGGGTTTGAGAGGGGTTTGAGAAGGGCTTCAGGAAAGAGGCTTTTGCGAGGTCGCAAACAGGGAGAGGGGGTGAGGAAGGGAAGGGTTGATGGCTGAAAAGGCACGTGGGAGTCAAGAAGAGGAATAGATGAACAAGGGGCACACATCCATAACTTCGCTAGGGACGCTCTTTCCAATCCACTGACAAGCAAAGGGCGTGGGGAGTCAGGGAGGGGATGGAATGAGCAAGGGGCAGGGCAGGGGGCCATGCCACTCGCTGGGAATCTCCCCACCCGCTGCCAGTGCGCGCTCCCTGGGACGCGGAAGCAGGGGGGAGAGGGGGGTGGGTGTAGACGCGGAACAGAAGGAGCTGGGAAGGAGGGGAAAGGAAAGGGAAGGTATGCAAAGGGGGGGGGTGGGGGGGGGGCGGAAGGGGGGAGGGAAGGGGGGGGGGGGAAGGGACGACCAGAGGAATCCGCTGACGTCAATCCTCAACGGCGGGGCGCCCCTTGCGCTTTCGCTGGAGGATGTCCGAGTGCGGTGGACGGGGAAGGAAGGGGATGAAGGGGGAAAGGGGGAGGTGGGGATGGGTGCGCGAGGGGGAGGGAGGAAGGGGAGAGGGTATGGGGAGAATTAGAAAGGATCGGGAATCGCGTGGGGCGAGGTGTATCCTCGGCGAACTTTCACGAAGGCCACCCAGCGGCTCCGGTTACATCCGTTTCGCGCAGTGGTTTCAGTGGTTCGGGAGTGGATTCCTTTCGCGACGCGCGGAGAAGGAGGTGGGGGGGGAAACGGGGGCGCCGAAAGCATCCTAATTCGTTGATCTGCCTCGTTGTGCCACGTGGCGCTCGTTGGAGGGCGTGTACTAGGAGGGGAAGACGCGGAGAGTAAGCAGCGATATAGAAATCGTCTCTTCCGGGAAGAGAAAGGGTGTAGAAGAGGACAGGCTGAAGAAAAGCGACGGATCTGCGACTTTGTGTGCCACGTGGCGGCCATCAGAGAGGCATCAAAGTTCCGCCTAACAGCTCTCCATGTGATTATAGCGAGTCCGACGCGGATCTCGACCTGCTCGCAATAACGCGGGCTGAATGCGAATTTTCCGAATTCGAGCAGATCCAGAACCCGACGGGACTGGAAGCTTGACGATTCTAAATTATTTTGCAGTCCTTTGATGGTATCTTGCCAAGTCGCTGCAAATCCCATTCAGCGGATCTGATTTTAGCGCGACGGCCAGAAGACTGTGGGTGCAAAGGAGAGTCATGGGTGCTTCCTTTGTCAGCACGGCTGATCGACGCGACTCCACCCACCCTTCAGAGTCATGGCTGCTTCCTTCGAACGCCGCAGCGGCACTATGCAGAAATGAGTACTTTGCCCACGCGAGGCCCGATCAAAGCCGTCGCTTGCAAGACGCGATTGAAGACAGAAGCGTGGCGCGAAGGGCGGCGGGCGACGCGGCAGCGAACCAACAACGAATTCGGTGGTTATGCGATGGGGAGCTCACGGGATCTGTTTGGATGGTGGGATTTGGAATTGCACGCTGACCTTGAGAACGCACAAAGTCTGCTCGTAAAGAGTGTCTCGCTTCGGAATTGGAAATGTTGTGGGTTTTATCCTTGGAATTCCGTATAAACCTTATATATTTCACAAGTACACTCACATTTTCCAGATTTATCATAGACTCTAGTATGATTGATCAGTGATGCCTTAACCAACAAAAACTGGTGTTTTCTGAGGCATTTTCAAGTCAACATTTTCAAGAAACACTATCCGACACTCATCTTTGGACCTTGTCTCCTTGACTTTTGACACTCGATGACAGGTAATCCGGAACACTTACCCGTCTTTCCTTTCTATTACCCAATCGGAACCCACACGCCAGCAAATGTTTTTAGCACTTCACCCATACAATACAAAGGACCGCCCTGGAAGACAAAATGTACCGCCCTGTACAGTCCAGCCGGACTACACCATGGTACAGCACAGCAGACAACAAAGTCCATCCTGCCCTATTCTGCTGCTCTTCATGTAGTAAGCCTCCCAACTTGCCACTCGTTACTGCTGGCTAAACCGGGCTTCTCTGCTTGCCAGCCTTCCCTATTCATCAAACCTCCCTGCCTACCTTACCTAACCCCTCTCCTTCAAACCACACTCCTTCCTGAGCCTCACTTCTTGCCGAACCGCGTGAATTTACAATTGGGCGCCCCAATGTGGCTCGACTCATAATCCCCCACCTCCCCATCCAAAAACCCCTTCCCAGCCTCCTCATCAGTCATCACCGGAAGCCCAGTCCGCCTCGCTCTCTCAACCACCTCTGCCACCTTTGCCGCTCGCTCTGGCGTCTGCTGGTAAGTTTGCCCCAGCACCCCATGCATGCCTGGACTAGCCTCCACCAATAGAAACTCAACGCTGAAATGTGCCTGCGAGTCTGTTGGCGTCTGTAGCATCGGGTGTGCCACGCGTGCGCGTATGATCATCCTCGCCACGTCAGCAACCGCCAGCTCGTACCGCTCCACAGCAAACTGCCCGAATTTCTCCACCTCCTCCAACCGCAGAGTAAACCCACTGCACCCATCCCTATCCCCATTGCCGTCGCAGCTGCCGATCCCTCTCCCATCCTCCACCCTCCCCCCCACATCAGCCATCCACCCACTACTACTGCTCACCCCCGCACTATACCCACTGCCGTTTGTCGCCAGCACACTCCCTCCCCCGCCCTCCACCACCTCCCCCATCACAAACGGCACAGTCAGCTGCTTGTTGTTATACGCCACGCGCAGCAGAAACGGCTCCGCTGTGCCGTTCACAGCGGCGTCGCTGCCTTTCTTGCCCTTACTGGCAGCAGGAGGGGCAGACTGGCGGCGCTTGGGGTGCAGCTTGCCGCTGCGCGCCACAAGGTGCAGGCGATGCACTGTGGGGCGACGAGGGTCCTTGGGGTTGGGCACGGCCCACAGCACGCCCAGTTCCCTGTGGGTACACACATGTACGCAGACAGACAGACGGGTGAGGGGGGGAGTGTGGGGAGGGGAGAGGGAAAAAGCTATTAACCTAACCGGGGGGAGCCTGGTGAGGCGGCACGCTTTTGAGACGTCTCAAAAACACTATTTCATCACGTGCTAACCGGTCATGCCTGGTGAGGCGGCACACTTTCCTGGAGTTGGGTTGGGGGGAGGAAAGGGGGAAGGGGAGGTTCATTTACGTCACTAAGGGGTGCCTGACGGGGCAGCAAGAACCCCTGGGGTTGAGTTGGGGGGAAGGGAAGGGGGAAGGGGGGGGGGGGGCATTTACATTACAATGGGTGCCTCGCGGGATGGCAAGAACCCCTAACGCTGAAACACAGGCAACAGATTGAACAGCTCCCCGTTCCAGTTTGCGGCACCTGAACAACACAGCCCTCTCCACCCCTTTCCACCCCACTCTACGCTCCTCCACTCCTCTCCACACTTCTCCACCCACTCCACCGCATATCTTTCCCTCACCTTAAGTTTGGTTCATGCCCATGCCGCCATTCGCCCCCGGCCCACTCCAGCCCTCTCCACCCCTTTCCACCGCATAGATCTCCTTCACCCCATGTGATCCACGTTTTTCTCATGTTCATGCCACCGTCCGCCCCAGCGCATTTGAAAAGGGCATCAACAACACACCCATTTCCACCCCTCTCCAACCCACTCTACCGTTCTCCATCACTCTCACTGCACTTTTCCCACTCACCTGATCCACGTTCTGCTCATGCCCATGCCGCTGTCCGCCCACAGCGCATTTCAAGGGGGCGTCAACAATACACCCCTCTCCACCCCTCCACCGCATTTCTCCCACTTACTTGATCCACGTTCTGCTCATGCCCATGCCGCCGTCCGGCCCCAGCCCAGCCAGGGGCGGCCGTATTGCCTCATACCCGCGCAGCCGCGCGTTCACATGCAGCCGGGCGGCAGACAGCACGCAAAACGACCCCTCCCGCCGCCCGGGGAAGGAGAAGCGCGTGCCGCAGGCGCCGGTGAAGAGGTGGTTACCACCGGCGAGTGTTATGGGCTGGCCGGGTGGGCTGGGGGGGGGGGGGAAGGGTGGAAGGGAAGGTGGAAAGGAAAGTTGGGGAGAAGGTGGGGGGAAGGTGAGGGAGAAGGGGGTTGTGGCTGGGTGCGCTGACACTAAGGGGAGGAGGGGGCAAAGGTGGGAAGGGGAGGTGGGGAAAAAGGGGAAGAGAGGTGCAAGGAAGAGTTGTGTGGTCAATGAGAAAGTGGTTACCACACAGTTGAACGTTACAAGGTGGAGGAGCAGGCTGGGGGAAGGGGGAGAGTGGGCTGGATAGGGTTTGAGCAGCAACCCCCGAGGAATAAAACAAGAGGTCCCCCTACTTCCCCACTTCCAAGCCCTTCTTCCCCCCCAAACCGGCTCCCCTCTCTCTTCCCTTCCCCCTCAACCCCCACACACCCCTCCTTTCCCCCCCTCCCCCCCCCTCTCCTCCCCCGTTTTCACCCGCTCTATTCACTTCAAGGTTTGTCACCCGAATCTGTTTCCTTCTCATTTCCTTCCCAACCATATCATCCCTCCTCCCCCTCCTCCCCACTCTCCCAATCCCCTCTCTCCCCGCGTCCTCCCGTGTCTCGCCCTCCCCATCCCCCTGCCGCCGCCTACCGCTTCCTCCCTCATGGCGCGCGCACCTGTCGCTCGCTGCGTCGGTGACGGTCTGAGCGAGCGACGTCGCAAGGAGCGCGACGGCGGCGACCAGGAGGAATGGCGACATCGGCGAGCGACGTAATGCGACGGCTTTCATTTGATAAAACACTCGCGGCGGGTGCGTATATTTGGAGGAGAGGAAACGGGCCGCGGGCGAGAATGACGTGAGCGTCAGTCAGTGGGTGGCATGTCGCGTGATCCTAAAGCGTCGGCTCGGATGCCTGTCACTAGTGAGCGTCACACATGCGTTCGGTGGAGACGGGAACTAGCGCGTGTTACGCAAAGCTGGAATAATGGAATTCGGCGTAAGCGGCAAATCTGTCAGCAATGGTGATAGGTGCAGTAGCATGTAGTGCGGTGAATGTCAAATGTAGTCTCAGGGTCGTTCTTGGCCGGTGTCTTGTCCTGACACGAAGTTGTGAGGGCAGATGTGGAATGATCAAGATCGTCAATAGCCTTGGTGTCAGCGAGCATGACCAGCCAAGAACTGGCCCTAAGGGCGTGTGTCCTTGGCGGGCTGAGTTCGAAAACGAGTTCGAACTTTTGATGGTAACTCGTTTTTCGTTAATCTCGTCATGCTGGGTTGCGATTTTCGTTAAAACGGGTAAGAAAGATGGAACCAAACATGGACACAACTAGAGTCGAGTTTCCGTTCGAACGTTTGCCCGCGCATTCATGCAAACGTGTGTCCTTCTGCCACGTTTGCAGCTGCAGCGAAACTGGCGACACTGACGAATAACAACGTGCGCGCTATCGAATCATACGCAGCTTTCACGGTGCGCCATCGAATCAGACGCGGCGCACGGTCAAGATGGCAAACAGGGTAACCTACGAGTCGAATCCGCGACGCGAGCTAGGTTGTAAAAGTCGACTTTTGATGGTCGACCCTTCGATGTGACATGTGATTGCCTTGAAAGGTGACTCGCGGCTAGACCATGGGTGGTTGTAAAATTCGACTACAGTTCGAACCAAGTTCAAAGTGAGAAAAGTCGAGTTTAAAAAGCAAACTTTACAAAAGTTGCCGAAGGACACACGCCCTAAAAATAGGGATAGTAACACGCCCTGAGGGCGCAGTCACAGCGAAACCCCTCAGATTTCATCGCGTGCGACGAGAAGCGAAGTATTGCGGAGTTCGCTACTTAACAGTTGCTGTGATCGGGACTTTTCGTTCACGAGGCAAATGCACTTCTGCAAACAGCCGAATAGTGAGACAGCGTGAGGATGACTCGGTAACCCTGGCAGGAACTACCCAACCCACTCAAACGACCTCGTTATACACCAAATCTGAAATTGGAATGTACAAAATCGATTGTACAGTTTTCAAGCCTTCTATACAAAGCCATTTGAAGTGCAGGCAAACCACGCTTGAAATACAATTTAGATAACAATTCCAGACAACTTTTGGGTTTTGTGTTCATGCACGTCAATCTGAGTCCGAATTGCTGATCCCATCACGAAGGAAGCGCATGACGGCATCATTAAAGGGCTTTGGTCGATGGATGTTGAGTGCGTGCGTTGCTCCCTCCAGCACCTCTAGTGATGCGACAGGGCCAAAGTGACTGCAGAGGAGCAGTCAGGGGGGTCAGGATGGGAAAGTGGGGGGTGCGGGCGGGTATGTATTGCAAAACGAAGGCAGTGTTGTGGGTTGGAAAAGTTGCAGGGTGCTGCTGATGATTAACAAAGCAACTCCTCATGTGCATGCTTCACAAATGTTCATACATTAACGAAGACATATATTCATACATTTTTTCTGCTGCTCTGATTAACAAAGCAACTCCTCATGTGCATGCTTCACAAATCAGACAATGGAGTACTTATCCTCAGCCCCAGCTCTCCACCTGTGCATGCTTCTTATACCCCTCACTCCCCCACCTGTGCAACCCTATTCCCTCACTCCCCCACCTGTGCAAGCCTACACGCTCAGCCCTCTCAACTACCACATTTCTGCATATAAAAAAAAAACTCACTCCCTCACCTGTGCATGCTTGCACCCTCAGCCCTTCAACTCCCTCACTTGTGCATTATAAACTCCCCCCACCCCCCCCCCCCACCTGTGCATGCTTGCACCCTCAGCCCTTCAACTCCCTCACTTGCGCATTTTAAACCCCCCCCACCCCCCCCCCCCCACCTGTGCATGCTCGCACCCCTCATTCCCCACCTGTGCATGCTCGCACCCCTCATTCCCCACCTGTGCATGCTCGCATCCCTCATTCCCCACCTGTGCATGCTCGCACCCCTCATTCCCCACCTGTGCATGCTCGCACCCCTCATTCCCCACCTGTGCATGCTCGCACCCCTCATTCCCCACCTGTGCATGCTCGCACCCCTCATTCCCCACCTGTGCATGCTCGCACCCCTCATTCCCCACCTGTGCATGCTCGCACCCCTCATTCCCCACCTGTGCATGCTCGCACCCCTCATTCCCCACCTGTGCATGCTCGCACCCCTCATTCCCCACCTGTGCATGCTCGCACCCCTCATTCCCCACCTGTGCATGCTCGCACCCCTCATTCCCCACCTGTGCATGCTCGCACCCCTCATTCCCCACCTGTGCATGCTCGCACCCCTCATTCCCCACCTGTGCATGCGGTGGGCCACGGAGAGAGGGAAGATGGAGTCTCGGCTGCCCCACACCAGAAGAGTCTCCTGCAGGCGATGGCATGGTGTGGTGTGGCATGGCGTGGCATGGCATGGTGTGGTGTGGGGTGCGGCGGGGTGGAATAGGGTGGGGTGGGATCGCGGACGAAAAGGAGGTGGGGAGTGGTACAAAGAGAGAAAGTGGAATTCCATGTGGAGACACAACAAAAGCGAGGCGAGTGTGTGTGAGGCACAGCTGGTGCCTGCCAGGTCATATGTGTAAGCGTATATGGACAAACTTGTGGTGCACTCACAAATTTGGTTACAACAACACAACACACCCACCCACCATTTCAGGCACAGGGATGTCAAGAGCGTTGAGGCCTGGCAACGCACGTGCGCCACCCTCCCCCGAGCTCTCCCTTTCGCCCCTTCCCTCCTGCCCATCCACGCCTGTTACATCCATGCCCGTCGCATTCGTCGCCATTCCATTCAGTCTTGTTTCACTCAGCCCCGTCCCATTCGTTGTCGTTCCATTGGGTCCCGCCTCATCAAGTCCCGCTTGGGAGAGGTATTTAAGAACTTCGTCCAGCATGCCGAGCTTCTCCTCCTTGTTGTCAAACAGGGCCTGCAATAACGAGGATGAAAGCGCGGATGGCGCATGGATAGGAGAGGGACCACAGAGGAGGGGGCGGGAGAGACAGATAAAGTATTGCTAGGGGTGATGGGCGCAAGAGATCGCCACAAGGGGGGTTGGGAACAGAATAAGTCAACGGGTCTATCTCTTTCAATCGATCGCCTTCCTCTCATTCTCTTCTGCCTCTCCAACCCTCTCTGCAGGCCCCTCTTCAAGCAAACACTTCCCACCCTCGAATTAACTCACGCCACACATTCACCTCACATCCCATCTGTGACCCACCCCAGCACCCCAACCCACCCCAACACCACTCACCTCGTGAGTTGAGCGCAGCACCCATGTGGGCAGGCTCGGCGCGTCATGGGCATAAGCGAGGTGCATCAACCGTTGCACGCCCTGGGGATTATCAGGCAGCAGCAGCTCCGCGATGTGCGCCACCTGCCACTCGCCCTCTTCCCTACGCCACCCCCACCACCACCCACCCACCTCATGAGTCGAGCGCAGCAACCAGGCAGGCAGGGAGGGCGCGTCGTGGGCATAGGCGAGGTGCATGAGGCGTTGAACGCCCTGGGGATCATCGGGCAGCAGCAGCTCCGCAATGTGCTCCACCTGCCACTCGCCCAGCACCGCTGCATGCTCCTCCGCTGACGTCATCAGGCCTGAGCCCGCCAGCACCAGCCGCTGCACCCTGCCCGGCTCCAGGCAGGCCATTCTGGGGGGGTTGGGGAGCGGAGAAGGGAAGGGAGGAGGGAGGAACGTTGGGGCGAGACTGCTTTACTGTGAGACTTAGAGAAACAGTTGCTGCACTGTCCTGGTCCACGCACGGCATTTTAGGAGGCTATTATGTAGAACTATTGAAGGTTATTTTTCAAACGGAATAAAAGTTGCTATCTTCAAATTTTCTCTTCTAAGACTAAAGATAATGTCTTTGAAAACTTGTTGTTTCTAAGCACATACTTGGGCCACCTGTATGCGACGTCGCCCACCTGTATGCGACGTCGCCCATCTGTATGCGACGTCGCCCACCTGTATGCGACGAACCCGCCATAGCTGAGTCCGACAAGCGCGCACTCGGCAATCTCGAGGCGGTCCAGCAGGCGGAGCATGACGTCAGCCTGAAACCTTTCTGACCGTTGATCGCTGCGGCTGGGCGATCCGCCGAAGAAGACGAGATCTGGCAGAACCACGTCGAAGTCGCGCGAGAAAGCCGCAACCTGATTGGTCCACTGCCAGATCGCCGACGCGCCGAAGCCGTGAAGCATTAGGAGAGGCGGCTTGCCACGACTCGCTGTCGCATTCCGCTGCAGCGACTGCGATTGCGAAAGCGATTGCGAAAGCGATTGCGATCGCGAAAGGGAGTCGGCGTAGTGTCGCGGGGCCCAGCATGCGACGCTGGTTTCGTCGTCCACCTGCACGTCGAGCAGTCGCAGGCCGTGTCGCATGTACCACAGGCGAAGCAGTCGCTCCTGAATGCGCACGACGTTCGGCAGGCGAAGAAACGTCGCAGCCATCGCGGGCGAAGGAGACTCAACCTGAAAGATTTCCAGGCAGAAGGTTACTAAGGCCGAAGGGAAAAGCGCGGAGCCGCAGGGCTTGAAAAAGGGGCGATATTGTGACGACTCGTCGAACAGGAAACGTGTCCCTAGGACCGTCGATCAAACGGCCTTTCAAACGGTTAGTGCGAGCAGAATCCATGGCTGCGAATTTGTTGCTGTGTTGTGTTGACCCGTCCATCGTCTCGTCATCGGCCCCTGTTCGACCACGCAACCTGCTGCTCCACGCTATCGAGATTGTCAGATGCGTCCTCGTTACAGTAAGCCTCACGGCAGGGAAGACAGTTTTCCTTTGAATTGCTTAACAGAGTTTCAGATGGTTTGACTCTGACACTTGCCTTCCTACATTATGTGGCCTATAATCAAGTTAAAAAGAGTGCAAATGAAGCGCAACGTTATCTCTCCCCAACATTTGCAAGCCTACCTCATACTCTCATAGATTTGGACCCATAATGGCCCTAGCAGATACATATCTACAAACAACCAATCAACCAGTCTCATCCACTGCACTCCATGGGTGCCAACTGGCGGGCTTGGCACGTGGATGCCAATGCTTTGCTGGACTCCTCCGGCTTCGTGCATGGAGCCAGGCCCCACTTGCATCCCATCACCGATTTGCTCATCAATCCACCTTCCGAACACTGCTTCTGTTCGTGTAGCGTATGTGAGGCATCCACATCTATACCTGTACCGCACAGATTGCCCTGCATTGCCCCCTCGCCTTCGCCCCGCATGTCTTCATCTGACAGGCATGCCGCATCCACACGCAAACCTGCACTGCACAAATCATCTTGTGTTTCCATATTGTCTCCCCCTTGCCCCTCTCCGTGTGACCGGCATGCAGTGTCCGCATGCATGTCCCCAGTGCAACATCTGTCCTCTGCCATCCCATCATTGCCCACCTCCATGTCAGTACAGCCTGTGTTGGATGCTAACCTCGTGGTGGCTGTTTCAGGTAGTGTTGCCGCTGCTTTGACTTGCGCTTGTGCTGCTTCAGGTTTCTCCGCCGCTGCTTCACGTGGTGCCGCCTGTGGTCCTGTCATTGTGGTGGCTGTTTGAGGCAGTGCTGCTGTTTGAGGCAGTGCTGCTGTGGCTGTTTGAGGCAGTGCTGCTGTTTGAGGCAGTGCTGCTGTGGCTGTTTGAGGCAGTGCTGCTGTTTGAGGCAGTGCTGCTGTGGCTGTTTGAGGCAGTGCTGCTGTTTGAGGCAGTGCTGCTGTGGTTTGAGCTGCTTCACCTGCCTCTGCTGCTTTAACTCCTGTCTCTGCGGTTTCAGGTAGCCTAATTTCTGCATCAGCCTTCTCTGCTGCTCCTGCTACCTCGGCTGCTTCAGCGGTTTCAGTCACCACTCTTCCTGGCACTGCACTGGTGCCTGGCTCAACGATGCTCGCCCCGCAATTGCCAGCAGCAGCAGAAGCAGCAGCTGCATCACGTGCAGGCTCCTCGGCCCTACGCCTCTTACGGCACCCTGAAACCATGCCTTTTGCTGCTGCTACTCTGGCTGCTGCTGCGGTCGCTTGGAGCCGTGCTGTTACTCTGGCTTCTGCTGGGTTCGCTTGGAGATCTGCTGTTACTGCCGGTGCTGCCTCTGCTGCCGCTACCTCTGTTTCTTCCATATGATAACCCACAAGCACAGAGGTGCCAGGACGCCAGTTCCTAGTCACCCTTCCAGGGAGGTGGTGAGAGGCCGAGGAGGGGTGGCGGGAGGGAGGAGAGTGGGGAGGTAGCGGATGGAGGGTGTGCAGGGCGATCTGTGAAGGGGGATAGAGAGGGGATGGCAAGGTGAGGGTGCGGAAAAGGGGTGGAGAGGCAGAAAGGGGTGTGAGGAGTGTGGCTTGCAGGAAAGGTTTAATTGGGGAATAGGAGCAGGCTACACGTGGTTGGAGTTTAGAATCGGGAGGCAGCACGCCGCCATGCACAAGAGGGCAATATGAATGAGAGAATGTGAAAAGGCGAGAGACGAATCTGTCAAGGAGAGTGAGAAGAGTGAATTTCTGTGGGAAGTGCAGGCGAGAAATGTGTCCGCAGGAGAAGCCGAGAGAAGTACACTTGTACGAATCATGCGTTAGCAATATGAAATCGATGAACGCATGGCTTACAGAGGAGTCATCCGCAGCAGAGAGCATGGCATCCCCATCCACAGGTGACCTGGATGGTGCGAGGATGGGGTGGTGGGGGACGGGAAGATGGAGATGCTGAGAGTTCGGTAGAGGTGGTAAGAAAGGGGGTCGGAGAGTTTGGACGAAAAGAACACACAAAGGGCTTGCATTGACTCATCACATCCCATACGGCCACACGCACCATGACATGCAACGCATGCACCACGACATGCATCGCATGCACCATGCTAACAAGTAGCACCTATTTGCTCCTATCGGTGCACGTCAGGTCCTGAATCATCCCCATCACCACAACCCCATCACCCCATCCCACCCATTCACTCATCACCCCATTACCCCCATCATCCCCACCCCCATCATCCCTCCAACATAATCACCCCCTCCAACATAATCACCCCCTCCAACATAATCACCCCCTCCAACATAATCACCCCCTCCAACATAATCACCCCCTCCAACAGGCACCCACCAGCGGAGGGCAGTAACCTCCCCCTGGTGCGCCTGGAAGGTGACAGATGGCATCGCGTCATTGGACGACAGCTGTATGGGGAGGAGATGGACGGTGAGATGGATAAGACGGAAAATGAGGGATAAGGGCAAGGCAAACGGCAGAGGGAGGCAGAGAGGACAGAAGGAAGCCACAAGTGCTGCACAGTTGTGAAAGTGGTGCTAAGGGCCCTCATGGTAAGAAAAACGGTTTCAGATGTATTGGCAAAGATACACATAGAGACGATAATTCATAATAGTAGATGTATTAACACAATCAACAAATAATAGCTGCTAGTCACCTGCCACACGTTGATGTTGCCGTCACTGCCACCGCAAGCCACCCGGCTGCCGTCGCTGCTGATGCTCGCCTGGAGAAGGGCACGGGAGGAGAGCGGACCATGGGTGCGTGCTGCTCGTGATGTATGCATGTTCGTCAAGTCGAGCTCTGATTTCATGTGTGCGCATGTGTGATGTGCGCATGCGATTTTGTCCATCAATCTCTGCTTGAAATGCATATGTGGGAATGCGCGTGTATGCGTGCGTGTTCTTTATAGGTGTGGCCAATGTCATGATGCAATCTACGCACTGAAAACATCAGTGGGATCAAGGTTCCAACTTCCATGCTTTCGAAGCTTGATATCAGCTCCACACTTGCATGCGGTGAGGCTTTGACTATGGGGTTGCTTGCAGGCAGGCTTGCATCACCCTCACCTCCACAACGAATGAGATAATTGCAACCTGCCGGGGATTGCAAGATAAATTCATACATCTATGAGCGTGCCTGCAGTCGAGCCTAGGCACACACGCAGGTGGCGACCCCTCCTCACCTCCACAAAGGAGTCGATCTGAGCGCCCTGCAGGGCGTGCGAGACCATCGCAGCTTCTACACTCACAACCTCACACGCCTAAACACAGGCAGGTGGCGGCGGCACACACACATGCATCGAGCCCTCCTCACCTCCACAAAGAATGAGTCGATCTGAGCGCCCTGCAGGGCGTGCGAGACGCATGGCAGCGGTGCACTCATGTCCACCACGTACACTCTGAGGGATGGAAAGGGGGGGGGGATGGGGGAAATGGGAGGGATGGGAGAGATAGGAGAATCATGTCTGCCAGAAATACTGTGTGGAACGACCATGCACGCAAGGCAGTGAGTGTTGTGGGACGGGGGGGTATGGATGGGATAGCAGGAGTTGGGCCTTTCAATGTGACTTTTGAGTCGACTCATAAGTCGCCTATCAATAACCCAGATGCGCAGTGCCACACACGACACGGGGTGATGAGGGTTGTGGAAAGCGAAAGCGGAGATGAGGGTGGTGGAAAGCGGTTGGAAGCGGTGGAAGCAGGAGCTTGGCGGTAAGATGTTTGGTGGTGAGAGCACCTGCCGTTGGTGCAGGAGGCAGCGAGGCACGAGCCGGCTGTGTTCACACTCCCTAACTGGAAAAAACACCATCACCACCACCCATAACCACCACCAGCACCGCACCTGCCGTTGGTGCAAGAGGCAGTGAGACACGACTGTGTAGACACTCCCTTAAGTGCCAAAACCACCATCAGCACCACCACCGTACTCACCAGCAGCATCACCAGCAACTGCACCTGCCGTTGGTGCACGAGGCAGTGAGGCGAGATAACTGTGTAGAGACTCCCTTAGCTGCAAAATTACACTCATCACCATCACCATCACCATCACCATCACCACCATGCGCACCTGCCGTTGGTGCACGAGGCAGTGAGGCACGAGCCATAGGCGTCCTGAGAGAGGCTGGTGATGCCCCTCACCCGCCATGGGGTGCCCGTGAGAGGGGACTGGAGGGGTGAGGAGAGGTTGGGAGGGGGAGGGATGGGTTGGGATAGGGGTGAAGAGAGAGGGAGTGATGGGGAGGGCATCAAAGGCGTCTTGAGAGAGGCTGGTGATGCCCCGCACTCGCCATGGTGTGCCTGTGTGAGGGGACTGGAAGGGGCGGGTTGGGGGCGATGGGTTGGAAAGAGCGGGAATGATGGCGCTGTGGGAGGGAAAGCGGATGGGGAATTGGGGGGTTGAAGGAATGGGGAGACGAGGGAGGGGGGAAGTGGGGGAGGGGGAGGGGGAGGGGGGAATGGGGGGGAGGAAAGTGCTTCTTAGTTCCGCATTCCTGCCCTCCAGTAGCACGCGCTGCAGGTGGACAATCCAGAGGCGAGGAAGGGGGGAGGGGGGCGCTGCAGGTGGACAATCCAGAGGCGAGGAAGCATCAGGGCTGCTGGTGGGGCACATGGGCCTGATTGGGCGACTTCAAGGCAGGAGGAGCCAGTGGGCCATGGGCAAGGGGTGAGGGCAAGAAGCTATGGGCAAAACGGGCAACAGGTGAGTGACAAGGGACGCAAGCCTAATCATCGAACACAAAGCAACGATTCGGACCCGAGTCCACTCCTGTGACTCGCTTGTTGCTCACCTGGTGAGGGGCCGGCGTGGCGGTGGGCAAGTGAGGGGCGGTGCTGGGGCACAAGGTGGTGAGCGGCTCTTTCAAAGCCCGCGTGTCCCAAAACTTGATGGCTCTGCTCCCACCCATGCCCGCACGGATGCACACAGGGAGCAACAGCACACAAAGACAGGATTTATTTTTTCCTAGGCGCCTCAAAAATAACCGTGGCCCCACGAATGGCACAGAACACCCAGACAGTACGCGGGGATAAGGATGCGGCACCGAGAATTCGATTTGTTTCACTCCCGAGTGGAACCCAGCAGAGCAACAGAGACAGTCTCAAGTGCACCCAGCAGCTGCACGCTGAGCAAGAGAGCTGCACGCTGAGCAAGAGAGCTTCACGCTGAGCAAGAGAGCTGCACGCTGAGCAAGAGAGCTTCACGCTGAGCAAGAGAGCTGCACGCTGAGCAAGAGAGCTTCACGCTGAGCAAGAGAGCTTCAAGCTGAGCAAGAGAGCTGCACGCTGAGCAAGAGAGCTTCACCATAGCTCAAGTGAGTTTGGAATTATTCTCTTATCCGTAGCTGCTCATTACACCACTGGTGCCCTCTTCTGCTGTTACCCATCCTTGCCCCTCCAGACTGACCACGGACATTCCTCCTCTGTCTATCCTCCCTTCCTTACTAGTCCTGCTCAAGACCTCAAGACCTCAAGACCTACTCATCACCATTCGTTCACCCAACCCATACAACTCATCCATACCTCCCATCCCATCCCATCCCATCCCATCCCATCCCATCCCATCCCATCCCAGCTCGTCCCACCCATGCCAACCTATCCCAACCCATCCCACCCACCCATCAGAGGCGCCAGCAGTGAAGAGCATGCGGGCGTCAAGGGAGAAGAGCACAGCGGTGACAGAGCACCCCACCACGGGGCGGATGCGCGCCCGCTGCTGCTGAGGCTTGCCCTTGCGCTGCTGCTGGTGGGCGTGAAGGGAGAGCGTGGGGGGAGGGCAGGGAGGGAAGCAGGATGAAAGGACAAAAGTGGGGAAAGGGAAACAGAACAGGGGAGGGGAAAATAGTGGGAGATAAGAGGGAATTTGGTGGAGGGATAAGGGGAAACTTATGGGGATAGATTAAGGGAACGGGGGGAAGAGCGGAAGATGAGGAGGGCGGTGAGATAGGGGGAAAGAGTGAAGAGAGATGGGAGAAGGTAGGAGGAGGGGGAGAGAAGCGGTGGAGGGGGCGGCGGGGAGAGTAGGGACGTACAGGGGGCAGCAGCAGCGGGTGGCGCCATGAGGGGCGGGTGGTTTCGGGGAGATGTGCCCGCGGTATGGCTCTGAGGGGTGGTGTGCGGGGCAGAGGGATGATGAGCGATAAGGGGAGGGTTGACAGGGAAAAGAAAACAAGAACAAAGCACGTGTCACGAGCTGCGATTCCCTTGCAAGGGCCACAGGGCACGTGGCACGAGGCTCGAGGCACAACGGAATGCAGAATAGCAGGGTGTGAGTTAACGAGGAGGCAAGGAGGAGGGAGCAATCACCCGGTAGGGTGGGAGGAGGTGCGAAGGTCCCACAGCAGAACAGCACCATCTCGTGCCGCTGTTGCCACACAGTCTGGTGAGGGAAGCGGAGGGAAAGCGAGGGGCGGGGAGGGGAGGGGAAGTAGCGCGCTCGAGATGATGGCGCGTGGGCTGGTAATGCGTTCAAGATGCAATGCAGGGAGCTCAACGATGGAGGGTGAGGTGGCCGACACTTGAAAGACCATGAGAAAATTCTCATGGTCAAAACTCGAAGAACGTTTTGAACTAGCGATATGAATACAATGGAAATTCTCAGCATCTGTGCTTCTGAAGATTGTACGTATAAAAAAAACATTTTTTTGCTTTAAAATTGCACTCCATCTAAACAAGTCAACCCCTACTTTTCTTTTATCCATAACGGGTATACGGGCGTGTGCGCGGTTGGTGCAAGTCTCGCGCAGCGGTGAAAAACTGAAGATATAAAACGGTTGGATTCGGTCGTTTTTGGGCGAGAGAAGCGTCTACCACACGCCATTATCACACATACTTCCTAGATTGCGAAACCTCCCACCTATCCCAGATGACACGTGCCTGGGTTGATGGGATGCGCAGCAGCGCATTTGACGGTGGCGCCATGGCCTCGCAGCACGGTCAGTCGCGCGGAACCGCTCGGCGCCACCTGCCAGCACGACGCCGTGCGATCGCCGGAACACGCGACGAGGCGACGACCGTCCTGACGAAGGAAGACGGAGATGGGTAAAGACGCAAAAAGCGAATACGATGGGCAAAGGTGACGACAGGTGCCGCAATAGCTCGGTGCCACCTGCGACAACGACGCCGTGCGATCGACGGCCATTTTGACGAAATAAACGAAGAAAGGCAACGATGCTAGCGGAAACGGGTAACGATGCAACAGACAAATAACAAAAAGAAAGGAAACGACGTGATCGCACGGCGCCACCTGCCAGCGCGATCGCAAGAAGTCGCGAGGAGGCGACGGCCGCCCTGCCGTGAAGGACGGGAATCAAACGACAAGCAGACGACGCAGACCGGAAGGCGCGAAGAGGGACGAAGGGTCAGCAGCGGTCTGAGGCGGGCCGCATCGACAGTCGGGAAGGAGAGGCGAGGTGGAGAGTGACAAGCGCGAGTGCGCGCGGCTCGGGAGAGGTAAGGGCGACGACGGACGCGTGGCGCAGAAAGGCAGAGGCTATGCGGAGCAGGAAGACAGAGAGTTCCCACTTTTGAGAAACTCTCAACAGAGGCTGGGAGCAGAAAACGAAAAATCTTGACAAGTGCCGACACACAACCTCCTCCACCTTCCAACCTTGAACCATCCACAACCTTCCGTACATCCAAACCTCTACCCCGTGCCGTTACCTCTCCCGCCGTTGACTCCGCCCCGTACCGTTGACTCTCCCCGTACCGCTCACTCTTCCCCGTACCGCTCACTCTTCCCCGTACCGCTCACTCTTCCCCGTACCGCTCACTCTCCCCCGTACCGCTCACTCTTCCCCGTACCGCTCACTCTCCCCCGTACCGCTCCCTCTCCCCCGTACCGCTCACTCTCCCCCGTACCGCTCACTCTTCCTCGTACCGTTCAGTCTCCCCCGTACCGCTCACTCTTCCCCGTACCGCTCACTCTTCCCCGTACCTTAAGCCAACACACGTCGAACACGGAGTTGTCGTGTGCATGCCACGTGGTCGATGGCCGCGTCGTGTACGCGTTACAGTCGGACCCGCTATCAATTTGCGCGCACATGGAAAGTGTCGGCAGCGTGTTGACGACATTCACAGAACCGAGCTCGTCGCCCACCGCCGCTAAATGAGCCTCGTCCGGGCGCTGCCGGTGGGGAGAGAAACGAAGTTAATACCGAAAATTGGACCGACTGTTACATGGTAACCAGTTCTCTCTCTGGGACCGACAAACGCACGAGCTTCGAGTGCGCCATCGCATGGCCAGATGTGTCATCGCATTTGTGGGACCAATTGACTGCGAAAGTCAATCATTTACGGCTCACCATCGCAGAGTGTGAATCATCGCGTTCTCACCACCGGCGATTGTCAATATTCCGGCTCACCTGGTCGAGAGCCGTCAATCACGGGCTCATCTCGCCGAAAGCCGTCAATCACGGGCTCACCTCGCCGAAAGCCGTCAATCACGGGCTCACCTCGCCGAAAGCCGTCAATCACGGGCTCACCTCGCCGAAAGCCGTCAATCACGGGCTCACCTCGCCGAAAGCCGTCAATCACGGGCTCACCTCGCCGAAAGCCGTCAATCACGGGCTCACCTCGCCGAAAGCCGTCAATCACGGGCTCACCTCGCCGAAAGCCGTCAATCACGGGCTCACCTCGGAGAACGCTACCGCCAGCGGGATGGCCGCCGTGTGGCTCTGCCACGCGCGCTGCGACGCGAGGGGCGCCACCAGCGCCCGGCGCGTGAGGTGCTGTTGAACCGCTTGGGCCGTGCCTGGGGTAAAGGCGGAGGGTGATGCGCACACACGCGGGTAAAGGCGGAGGGTGATGCGCACACAAGCGAAGACGAAGCTACCGGATTTGGGTGGGGCGTGCGTACCGTCGCGAATGGATAGAGTGACGAACATGCAGAAAGAGACTGGGACGCAATGCAGTCGTCTAAGCATGTCAAAAATGCTAATTATTCTAAAAGGTCTTGTTATGTCAGCAAAGTTGGCAGGACGACCTACAGTCTGTTTCCGTACCTCGTGACGAACCCATTTCTCTCCGCCGAAGCAGAGAGTGAACATCGGAAGCACTCATCGGCGCTGAGTCTGTCCGCGCACGCAGAAACGCAGAGAAGACTAGACTAGGTACGGATAAGTTCTGAGGTTGCAGCGGACTGGGTCAATGGAAGTACGAGCTCAACGCGAGAGGGATTACGCGGAGTGACGCCGTATCGACTACGGGGGGGGGAGCCAGTAAGTAAGCTGGGGCCGGGAATGAAATGCTAGGGAATAAGAGGGAGGGCACCCATATCGATCGCTACAATTGGTGACTAGGTGGGGTGGGGTGGGAGTCGGAGGGCTCGAGAGAAAACAGTCGCTACTATCCAGGTTTCGTGAGGCAGACTCGAAATTTTGAATTCGAAGATATACGGATCGCGGAACCACTCGCGAAAGCTCGAAATGAAACCTCGTTCGTGTAACTGGTAGTAAATTTGCATCTCTATGTTATGAGTTCAAAACCAGAATCCTACCCCAAAGTTCAAACAATTTAAAAATGAAAAAACAAATCATAGGAGAGATGTTGAATAAAGAAGTTAGAGGGACCCCAAATGACGGATACACTCTGACAATCCGTAAAGGGACTTGGTCCGGAACTTGCTAAGGGTTGATCGCACTGCGGAATTGTTGGTTAGTGACGCATGTCATAGTGAATGTATGACAGAAGTGGGTATAAAAAAATACATCGATTAATATATGACTACAAAGGAATTCGAAATGTCGTAACTTGTCAAATGTTGATATTTGTGATACGCTGTAGTGAGGTGCTCTTTAGTGAGTACAAACATGTTAGGGTTTCCTATTTGTACCCCAACTCCTTTCTAGTCAAGGATTCCGTTGCATTCTAACTTTGAGATGGTATCACGAGTAGGTTAGTTCCTCGTTACTTCCTAACCCGCGCCCTCTCTAGCGCACCTCCGCCCTCCGCGCCCTCCGCGCCTTCGCCTCGGCGCCCTCCGCGCCCTCTCCGCGCCTTAGCGCCCTTCTCCTCCGCGCGTCCGCGCCCTCCGCGCCCCTAGCCCGCGCCGTCGCGGACCTCCGCTCCTAGCGCCCTCCGCGCCCCTAGCCTGCCCCCCTAGCCCATCGCCCAGGCCCGCGCCCTAGCCCGTCGCCCCGGCCCGCGCCCTAGCCCGTCGCCCAGGCCCGCGCCCTAGCCCGTCGCCAGGCCCGCGCCCTAGCCCGTCGCTCAGGCCCGCGCCCTAGCCCGTCGCTCATGCCCGCGCCCTAGCCCGTCGCCCAGGCCCGCGCCCTAGCCCGTCGCCCAGGCCCGCGCCCTAGCCCGTCGCCCAGGCCCGCGCCCTAGCCCGTCGCCCCGGCACGCGCCCTAGCCCGTCGCCCAGGCCCGCGCCCTAGCCCGTCGCCCCGGCCCGCGCCCTAGCCCGTCGCCCAGGCCCGCGCCCTAGCCCGTCGCCCAGTCCCGCGCCCTAGCCCGTCGCCCCAGCCCGCGCCATGGCCCGTCGCCCCAGCCCGCGCCCTAGCCCGTCGCCCCAGCCCGCGCCCTGGCCCGTCGCCCCAGCCCGCGACCTAACCCGTCGCCCCAGCCCGCGCCCTAGCCCGTCGCCCCAGCCCGCGCCCTAGCCCGTCGCCCCAGCCCGCGCCCTGGCCCGTCGCCCCAGCCCCGCAGGCAGCGCGCCGCGCGGGTAGCGCGCCCCGCGGGTAGCGCGCCCCGCAGGCGACGCGCCCCGCGGGTAGCGCGCCCCGCAGGCAGCACACCCTGCAGGCAGCGCGCCCCGGAGCGCTTTAGCGCTAGAAAATAAATAAATAAATTAAACCCTAAAAAAAAAAAAAAAAAAATAGGGTGGGGGCCTGCAACTGTCGCCCGCGTTCCTGCTTGCCGGACGACCTGCACAGTTGCCTACATCCCGCAGCCGTCAGTACTGCAGCCCTTACTGTCGCACGTACTTTCCACTGCCAGTGGCTCTACTAGCTGCAGCCGACAGCCGCACTTACGGTCTCTAGCTCCGGCCGTTCCTACCTCCAGCCAGCCCTAGCTCGCCGTTTCTAGCTCCAGCCAGTTGTGCTCCATCCGTTCTAGCTCCAGCCGTTCTCGCTCCAGCCGTTCTCGCTCCTCGCTCCTAGCTCAGTTTGCTCCGTGCTCCGGCCGTTCCTCACCTAGTTTCACCTGGCGCTTCTAGCTCAGTTTGCTCCGTGCTCCAGCCGTTCCTCGCCTAGTTTCACCTGGCGCTCCTAGCTTAGTTCGCTCCGTGCTCCAGCAGTTACTCGCCTAATTTCACCTGGCGCTCCTAGTTGTTCTCAGTGCTTCTTCCGCGATCACACCACTGTCACACCTCTTTCGGCTCCAGTCCCAGTTGCCCTGGCTGATCCTACTTCAGGACCAGCAGTTACTCGCAGCTCGACCACTCTCCTGTGCCCAGCTGTCCCCTCTAGTTTCCTCACTGGTCTCTACATCCCCTCGTTCTCTCGGAACTTGGTGGGTGTTGGATACCTTCAGGACCGGGGGATCACAGTCACTTTTCTTGCGCACGGGAGGACTGCGATCTGTACGGACTCTTCCACAGGGGCAGTTCTGTCAAACTATAATTCTATAGTTTGTGTAGTTCTAGTCTATGTGTTCTCCCTTGTGTTTTTCTGTTTGTGACATGGTATAGAGCTAGGTTAACCCTAGCGAGATTTTCCCCCTTAGGAAAAATCACTCGACTATCATGGGCCCACCTAGTCGCACCCCGTCCTAGACCCCCGTATCGCGCTTACCTTAGGCCCCGTCGCCCGTAGACCCCCCCCCCCCCGTCGCCAGTCGCCAGTCGCCCGTTTTTCCCCCGTCGATCGCGGCCGTTTTCATTTTTTTTCCCGTCGCCCGTCACCCGTCGCGGCTGTTCGTTAACGGGCCCCGCGGCCTTTAGTTAGCGGGCCCCGCGGCCTTTCGTCAGCGGGCCCCGCGGCCCTTCGTTCGTGGGCCCAGAGGCCCCTTCGCTAGCGGGCCCCGCGGCCCCGTCGTTAGTCGCACGCACGCACAGCAGCAGCCGCGCGCACCAGCGACCCGTCGCCCCACCCGTTTCCCACCGTCGTAACCGCCGCCCCACCCGTTAGACGCGACCCCACCCGCTGCCTTACCCGCCGCCCACCCTGTTAGCCTCCGCCACACCAGAAATCGGCCGCCCCAGGAACTGCAAACCGCTGCCCCTGACCTGAAAACCGCCGCCCCATACCTGGAAACTGCCAACCCACCTGGAAACCTGCTGCCCCACCCGTTCCAGTCACCTCACCCGGAATCAGCCGCCCCACCCAGTACTCTCCACTGCACAGAACCGCACAGAACCGTGCAGAATCGCGCAGAACCGCACAGAACCGCACAGAACCGTGCAGAATCGCGCAGAACCGCACAGAACCGTACCGAACCGCACAGAACCGCCGCCTTACCTTCCCCACCCGTCGCCCGCTGCCTTAACAGCCGCCCCACCTAACACCCGCCTCCCCACGAGCTGCCACACCCGCCGCCAGTAGCACCAGCAGATTACACTGCCGCCAGTAGCACCGGCAGCCTAGACTATCGCCAGGAGCACCACCAGCAGCTTAGACTGCCGCCAGTAGCACCAGCAGCAGCTTCCACTGCCGCCAGCGCACTTGCAGCAGCCTAGACTACCGCCAGGAGCACCACCAGCAGCTTAGACTGCCGCCAGTAGCACCAACAGCAGCTTCCACTGCCGTCAGCGCACCAGCAGCAACTTAAACTACCCCCCAGCAAAACCAGCAGCAGCATAGGCTGCCCCCAGCGCACCAGCAGCAGCTTAGGCTGCCCCCAGCAGAACCAGCAGCAGCATAGGCTGCCCCGAGCGCACCAGTAGCAATTTAGACTGCCGCCAGCGCACCAGCAGCAGCTTAGGCTGCCCCCAGCAGAACCAGCAGCAGCATAGGCTCACATGGCGTGTACTAGAGTTCTACGGCAGCAGGGCCAGCCGCAGCACTCCCAGCCGCAGCACTCCCGGCAGTGGGGACCTGCGGGTCCAAAGGGTGGAGCCCCCAGCAGTGGCTCAGCTAGCAGTGGGCAAGACGTCGGCCCCTGCGGGTACCGGGCCCTGACAGGCCCTGGTGCTGGCACCACCTGCTGGAGTCCTGACCACTCTGCGTCCAGCTGCTACCGTCGACTCGACGACCTCCACCGTGAGCGTTTTGGTCCTCACGCTATTACACCGCACTGGCCCTCGCGTCTTCGCCAGCGCACTGCTGTACCAGTTGAGTCTCACCTGCCTGGTCTAGGACCATTCCCGGCTGCACGAGTAGAGACCTGTGTTTCCAGTCTTGGTGCGTGTGTTGTTTCCAGTCCAGGCGCCTCTGAGGGTCTTTGTGTAGGAGCTGCAGCTACCACTAGTCCAGCACCAGCCTTTGTAGCTGGTTCGGGTGCGACCTCACAGACTGCACAGCTTTCCTTCACCCTAGACTCTGGAGCGTCCAGCTGTTTCTTCGCGACTGTACTGACCTCACACCACTGCGCACTCCAGTCACTGTCGCCTTGGCTGACCTCTCTGTGGGACATGTAGTTGCTCGCAGCACCACCACTCTCCCGTGTCCGGCGGCTCCCTCAGGTTTTCTTACAGGTTACTACACCCCCTCGTTCTCTAGGAACCTGGTGGGTGTCAGTCACCTCCACGACCTAGGTGTAGTCACCACTTTCCCACTGGACGAGCCTGTTGCCTCCTGCACAGTCGATACCACTGGGGCCCCTCTGGCCACTTTTCACAGGGAGCCGGGCTCTGGTCTGTACTAACTACACACTGGGTCCCACCGCACTGGGTTAGGCCAGGTCAGGTCAGGTCAGGTAGCTGCTGTGTCGTGCGACTGTCGCTCCCTCACCCACCCGTTTGTCCTCTGGCACCACCGTCTAGGTCACCCGTCGTTCCCACGTC